TAAACAAACACCCCAAATCCCACAAAAAGATTAACAAACAAACAAGCCCACATTTCAGTTAATAGTACCGAACCAATGTTTATTTTGGAGACACAATCTCGCTAAGTAGCCCAGGCTGGCCTAGAACTTGCTATGTAGCCCAGGCTGACCACAGACTCCTGTGTGCTGGAATTACAGCCATGATTACACGGCTTTATTGTGCTGAACACTAGGACTGTACATTTGCCACCGTGCTTACTGGTTTCTTTTTAAAAAATGATTCTGAAATGTATTATTATTGTACGCGTGACTGATGGATGAAAGTCAGAGGACAACTTTGTAGATTTGGTTCTTTCCTTCCATCTTTACTTGAGCTACAGGGATAGAACTTAGACCATCAGATCTGTGCAGCAAGTGCCCTTACCCACTGAGTCATCTACCAGCCCAGTCATTTCTCAATACAGATAAACGTATTATGGTTCTAGCAGATGAAAATGCTAAGGAAGCTGGATACAGAGTATATCGGAATGCTGTCTCTTTTATGTTAAACCTTAAATATTTCCAAATAAAAAAGTCTGGAGAGCAGGAAAAAGACGAGTACAAAGCCCTCATCCTCATGGAATGCTGCAGTGAACAGAACTTACTCAAAACTGACTGTTGTTGCTGAAAAGCAGAGAAGTATCAGTGGAAACGGCACGCGACCTTCTGATGGGAGGTAAGCTTTAGATGCCGTCCTCTGGGTAGAATTCAACCAGGTGAACTGGCCTTACACCTTGTCCCGAGATGGGGAAAAGGGAAGCAGAGGAGAGACAGGCACCCAAAGAGAGGTGGGAGCCGTGTGGTGCTGGAGGATGACCAGGTTCCAAGCGATAATCACACCTTGCTACCATTAGAAAAGAAATCATAGCAACTTACGGTTGTTTACAATTACGTGACAGGAGTTTGGAAAGGGTGAACGGGTCAAAACCAGGAGAGAGACAGCTGCAGAACAGGAAAGCTGCCGAGCAGTGAGCGCACTCTGGTCTCCCCGCTCAGGCTTACCTTTCAAATGAAGCATCGAGAACATGACCACGACAGGCACAGTTTGCATTTACTTATTTGTCTGTTATGTGCATGACTGTTTTGCCTTCATGTATGTCTGTGCACATGGGAGTGGCTGGTGGCTGCAGAGGTCGGAAGAGGGTGTGGGATCCCCTGGGACAGGAGTTATAGAGGATTGTGAGCTACCATGTGGGTGTTGGGAACTGAACCCCAGTTCTCTGCAAGTGCAACACGTGTGCCTCACCACGGAACCATCTCTCCAGCCCTGTGAAGGTGCTTTCTAAAACACGGAGCTATCTCGGTAGTTCCAATCCTTCCAGGGTCCTGCACACACTTATAGAGCCCATCTGAGACCTGGGTGACAGCACTCACACCTTGGGCCAGGCCTGCTGGTCTGGGCTGGCCCGCTGAGACAGCACAGCACAGACTGGGTAGCAAGGAGGGCATCCAGTCTCAGCACACGCTCTCACCATGCTGAACCTGTAATCATGGAAATCACTGCTTGCCTCTTGAGGCTTTCTCTTGGGTGCTGGCTCAGCAGCCCAGAAGCTGTAATCCACCCCTGGACAGCCCATCTCCCAGACAGTCCTGTTGTGCTTACTCTGCACCAACCTCACACAGAGGGAGGCCATGTCGGAGGGAGAGAGGCATCTGTGGGAAAAGTGAATGGGGGCCAACCGGTGGAGAAGAGGCTACGGAAAATCAAGCGGGCCATGCCAGAAGAGAGCCGAGGACTGAGAATTGCTCTGGAAAGCTTTAACACTAATGGAATTAACAAAACCAATTCAATAGTTGCTTTGAGCTACTGAAATGATTGAGAATCTCAATATGATGGTAGACCACATAGGATGGGTCCCAAAATCACCATCTGAAATTCAAATCGCCAGGGTTAACAGCAAGTGCCTTTACCTGCTGAACATCTCACCAGCCCCAAGAAAGTTTTCTTTTTTTTTCTTTTTTTGAGTCAGGATCTCACTGTGTACCCCTGGCTGGCCTAGAATCCTCTCTACAGGCTAGGGTGACCTAGAATTCACAATGATCTGCCTGCCTCTACCTCCCAAATCCTGGGATTAGAGGCGTGCACCTGGCAAGGTTACATTCATGATCAAATCCTGATGCTGAACTTTCAAGAGACACAAACTACCCTGTTATACTTTTATGGACTGTATTCATTCTAAGGCTTAGGAGAAGGATAACACAACTAATCGGTTAAAATTTTACCTGAAATCATTCCCAAGAGCTAGGTAATTGACCAGGCTGCAGGAGGGGCTATGGCTACAGTCCGCAGATGCAAAGCGGACTTGTGAGCATGTGGTGTGAAGTTGGGAGCCAGGAGAAGAGGCCTCGTCAACCAGACCTCGCAAGCCAGTTGCAGAGTACGTGGCACCGTGTGCTGTAACATTTGGTACCCGTGGTTTTGTTTTAACTTCCTTTACATAAGGACCAGTCTATATTAGGAGTGCCGAGGGTCCAGAATGGGGGGAGGAGGAAGGGAGAAAAACTAACCGGTGTGAGAGCAGAATCAGTCACGCCCTTACCATCAGGCAACCTCAGTGACCAGTGATCATCAAGGGATGCTTGAACAGTAAACACACGCTGAGGGCCATGCCAGCAGCCAGGCAGGCGTGGGACTAGGCTAGACTCAGGATGGACTGGACAGTTCCAACAGAGTAGGTGATGCTTGGCATCAGGTGACACTGTCCTGGAGGAAGGGAAGAAAGAACTCTGGACAGGGAGTAGTTAGAGCAAAGACCAAGAAGTGTCCCGCAGACTTTAGGATTATCCTTTCTCAGGGTCCCTCAAGGGGGTCCTTCGGAATCTGCTGCACTTTTGCTGTATAGCTTTCCTTTTCAAAGCATGCATTTCACTTTGGGGACATCCCCCATTAATGTGGAACACGTGTACTTGTCCCAGAGGGCACAGACTAGCTCTTCTAAACCAGGGCTGCCTCTAAGATTACTTAGCAGAAACTTTACCACCCTGTTTTGTTTTTTTTTTTAAATTACCATTGGCGATTTTTAAGAACTGTTTATATGTGAGTATGTGTATGCACAAATGTACATACACCTGTGAATGCAATTGCTCGCTGAATCAGAAGAGGGTGGTGGATCCTTTGGAACTGGAGTTACAGGCATTGGTGAGCTGCCCAGTGAAGTTGTTCACAGCTCCTCCTGCAGCCTGGTTCTCAGGGGGAAGCAGTGGGCCCTCTTAACTACTGAGCCGTCTCTACACCCTCACCCCACTCTTGTCCACAATCACTTCCTTTAAACCTGCTTCTGGTGAACAGACATTTCCACGCCATTTAAGGTATTTTCATAAGACAAGGGTCTGGGAGAGTTGCTCTTCCTGCTGTCTGGGTCTCTCACTTTCTACCTCACCATCCTCTTGGGGTGCTAGGTGTCCCATTTTGGGCTTAAGTGAAGCTGGTATTAAGAGGTTGGCATGTTTATTTAAGAGGAAACTTTGAATCAGATGATGGCAGCAGTTTTTAATCACTTCACCCACCACTCCTACACCATAACTAAAGAACTATTAACATTTGCTTCTCAATCAGACCCTGTGAATTGGAGTCGGGGGACAACTAGCCCGGCCAAAGTTAACAGTGCCTCCAAAACTTTCTCCGAGGAAGTCTAGCCAGAAGAGCCTGCTGATTCTTTACAGGTACTATGCATCTAACAATCTGTGATTTTAGGGAGGCACAGGACTCATAGGGACTCAGGGAGATAAACAGGGAACAGGGAGTTAAAGGAGAATTTGTAGGCCCCAAGCCTTCCTGCCATGTCTAGCTCCAAATGTCTCACCGGGTCTCCAGCTGCGGATGGAGCTGGATGCATCAATCTGCCCTGTTAATGCAGCCTGCTTTCTTTTCCCGTTCAGTCAGTTGTGAGTCTGGAGAATTTCATCTAAACACATTTAGACAGCTTCTCACAGGCATCGCTACTCAGGGAGTCCAATCATTCAAAAGCAGCTCCGTTGTAACTGATCAGATACTGAGACCACACCAGGGGTTCTGTAAGCTCCAGCTGGCAGGCCCATGGCATGTTATTATTTGGGCTTTTTTTTTTTGTTGTGTGTGATGTGTGCCTGTGGGCATGTATTCCGGTATGTGAGTGCAAGTGAATCCGTGCACATGTGGAGGTCAGAGGTCAACCCTGGGTGCTAGTCCCTGCTACCCCCCACCCCTGTTTGATACAGGGTCCCTTGTTATTTACCACTAATATGGCAGGCTAGCTGGCTAAGCTTCTGGGCATTCTCCAGTCTGTCTCTCCTCTCGCCGTAGGAGCACAAGGATCACAGATGTATGCCATCCTGCCCTGCTTTATGAAGGTTCTAGACAATCAACTCCAGATTCTCATGCTTCTGCTGCAAGGGCTGTGCTCAATGAGCCAAGGCCTGTCTGTAGCCCAGGCTGGGTCTCTCTGTAGCCCAGGCCGGCCTCCAGTGCTGGTACTGCTGCCATGAGCCCCTCCCCCTGACTCTTGTAGCAGTTCTACTGAAGTACATCCGGGCTCCTCACTTGCTTCTCTCTGGTCCTGGGCCGTTTCTGTGCCACAAGAGTTGAGTAACCCTCGAAATCTAGTTCAGTACAGAAAACGTTTGCTAACTTCTGGATGACAGTGACGATCACAATTTGAAGAGGGTTAAAACAAAAAATGTTGAGGCTAGTGGTGCAATCCTGTGATCCCAGCTACTCAGGAGGCCAAGGCAGGAAAATCACAAGTTCAGTGCCTACCCAGGCTATAATGAGACCCTGTCTCAAAATAAAGAATTAAAAAAAAAAAAAATCTGGGTGGATGTAGCTCAGTTGGTGGAATATGTGCCTAGCATGCTGGGCGACCTAAATTCAACCCCCAGTACAAATACAAACAACACTGGATGGTTCTCAAGGAGACGGAGTCAGTCAAAGGCGCTTAGGAGTCCATTCACTACACCTTTAGAACCTTTGATGTCCGAGCACCACATTCAGGCCACACAAGATATAAAGGGTTACAAATATTCAGATTTTATTATAAATAAAATACTGTTTTCTTTTTAAACATAAAAAAATGCCAAGTGTTGCGCTTTGCTAACCTCCCCAGAGAGGAAGGCTGTGGGGATTAAGGCAGCTAGAGTGAAGGCACATGTATAAGGGCCACAGTTGGGATCCAAAGGAAAATTCCACGGGGGGGTGGGGTGGGGGGGGTAAAACATCTATTCTGTGTGACACCCCGCACTTTACAGCAGCCATCCTGTCCATTTTATTACATAAAATACAGATTACGGAACTATACAATAAAACAATGGCTGTGCTGCAGGACTGTGATAGGTATTATCTTGTAAATAACTTCCATTTTTAAAAATAAATTTCTGTTTAAAAATATACCACACAGATGGAGAGGACAAATAAACCCAACACAACACCCCCCCTACCAGGGCCTAAGACCTGCTGGAGCGTAGCCGACGCAATGGATGATGCTGGTCTGTTCCAGACATTTTCCTGCAACTGTGACCAAACGCGTATGTTAAGGTGGCGAGCACTGCACTAGAGGAACTAGCCAATCAGCACTGAACGTGGGGAGGAAGAGCCATGCCTCTGCAGGAGCAGAAAAGACCTGGGAGGGGCAAGAGTGGACCCTCAGGGGTGCGGGTCTCCGTTCGCCCACCAGAGATGGAGACAGACTGCACTCAGCGTCTCCTCCCGCGGTCACCAGTAGCCGAGCCTGGCACCCTCAAGTGCTCAGTCATCCCCTTACAAAACTGACCCATCCCGTTCAAGAACGGCCAGGAGACACGTTTCCACCACGGTGTGGGAGAGTCCCATCAGTGAACTGTCCTACCTACTTTACCCTGTCGGCCCGGTGACTGTCGGGGGCGGCCGCTCAGATGATCAGGGCCGCAGCGGAGAGGCCGGAGTGCCCCCTTGGGTCTGGCTGTGGAGGTGAGCAGGCTGAGATCCCGGCCAGACAACGAAGGAAGGCGCTGCAAACACGAGGCGGAGCAAGACGCTGGGGCAGGGGCATGACTCGGAAGATGGTGGGAAGGAAGGGGGTGCACGGGCTGCCTGTGCTAGCAAGGGAAAACCGAGCAACGAGGTGAACTGACAGCGCCACCCTAGCAGGACTGGGAACATTTACATAAACTCCTTACTCTATGATCACGATACACAAAAACCATTCACACAAAAAATATAAATTTCAAATAATTAATAGCACCAGTGTGTCAGATAATAATTTCTTTCCCCCCGCTACGCAAAGTACAAAATTGCATAGTGTTAAAGGCTATATATGAATCTCAGAGGCAGGGAGGGAGGAGGACGGGGGCGTGGCCGGGAACTGTCACAGTCTGGCCGTAAGAAAACCACAGAGCTGAGGATCAGAGGTTGAGAAGCCTAAGAGGAAATGCCTTTCCGCACAAGGTTCTTCCCGCTCCACACCGAGGGCAGGCTGAGAGTGGGCGGAGGCACGGAGCGCAGGAACTAGCTGGTGCTGGCGGCTGTGTGAATGAAGAACGGAGCCTCAGCATTGCCACCGGGATCTGGAAACAACGTCGTCTTTTGAAGAGTTTTAGAAAAATGGAAACATTTAGAGAATTCGCGCTAAGGGCCAAATATTACATCTCTCTCCAACAGAGAAAAAGAAATGTACACATGGAATCCAACGATACATCTCAGTGTCATCCATTTTCCAGAAAATACGGGGAAAGAGAGATTTGCTTTTCTTTCAGTGGTCAGGATCTTAGAGACCAACCGTCTGACGGGTATCTTACCACTAGTTCCAAGACTAACACACTAACAAAGCTCGAAGAATTAGTTAGACTCGGAAAAAAAAACACAACAACTTTGGTGGTTATCACATCCCTGTTCCTTCTGCACTGTCTCATTTATAAAAATATCAAAAGCTATCTACGTAGTGGTGAGTGCAAGCTGCCCATCCAGACTTTTTATCAGCTGCCTAAGGATTTGAAAAAAGTGTATCTTCCTGGTCAACTAATATAGGAGAAAATCCTAAGTGTCTTTGAGCCATATTCTCTGGGAGACCCGTACAGAACTGCACTCTTACCCATGATGGCTCAGGGTCCTGTACTCAAACAGCTAGCATGGCTGATGGATGGCTACCAGCATTCTAAATGACCAATACCTTTGGCACAGGATGTTTATTTCCTATTGTTTAAAAGAGGAGGCTGAAGATGCAGAGGCATTTTCTTTACCCATAGATGGGACATACTGGCCATCTCTATGCTACAGTGAGGAGGCAAACGTTTCCTTCATAGAAATATGAGAACTGAGATAGGTTCCGCTGGTGTTGAGAAGGGGGCGGGGGTCTGCCCTGGCATAAAAAGGTTCACATGACGTGGGTATGCCACTGGAGGATGCCGTGACCTCAGGCAAACGAGGGAAAGCTTGGGTAAGGTGTTAACATGAGTGGAAGAGAGACTTTATTAGGCAAAATCCTTTGTTCCTGGTTCAGGATGTTGAACTTGCTTCTCTTTAAACTCTGACTTTTCTTGGTTCAAAAGGACAGTGATGGAGAGCAGCAGAGAAGTGGGGGGTCTGAAAAGTGTAATCTTTGTGTCAAGGCACTGTGGCCACACAGGGCTCCCCTCTCGGGGGGCCCTGCCTGGCAGCCCTCCCGTCACTAGGGCTTCTCAATGGACGGGGTGTTGAAGCAGCCGGATGGTAGGGTCTTCTTGATGTCCTCCAGGTTGTGAATGTCCTTTATGATCTCTTCTATGTCTCGGTTATAGTCCATGATGGCCGCCTCCTGCTTCCGGGCTTCCTTCTCCAGGTCAGACACCTTCCTGTCCAGGTCGCTGGCCTTCATCTCCTCTTTGGCTTTGCTCAGGGTGCCTTCGATCTCATTGAGCTTGTTGAGGTCTACTGTGTCCAGCTGTCCTGTAGTCAGGAAGGGCACAAGAGAGAACAGGCTCACTCTGGGAGAACTGGAGCACAGCTTCTCAGTGCCTCCTGCTCTGTCGTGCACTAAGGCTAGCAGCTGCCCTGAAGCCAGGGTGCTGCTGTGTTCAAGGGCCTGAGCAGTGCTGACCTAACCAACAAGGTGGGCAGAGTGGATCGTTAATATTAGAACAGTTTCAGTTGAGAAAAGTGGTTTTCACAGGATATTTTCTTTAATTTTTAAATATTTATTACTACTTATTACTCTGTGTGTGTGTGTGTGTGTGTGTGTGTGTGTGTGTGTGTGTGTGTGTGTGTGCATGAATGTCATAGCATATATGTAGAGGTCAGAGGACAACTTGCAGGAGTCAGTTCTCTCTTTCCACCATGTGGGTTCCAGGGACTGAACTCAGGTTGCCAGGCTTGGCAGCTAGCGCCTTTACCCACTCCATCTCTAGAGAACCATCTCTTCAGGCCTCATACAATATTTTCTAAATGCACAGGTACCACGTCTTAGACCTCACTTATGCTTAAGAAGGCTGGTAACAGTCCTCTTGCAGGTTCATGTGTGTAATCTGTGGGCTACTTCAGTGTCAAAGATTACAAAAATCCAGGAGCATATGCCTGTGACCTCTAGGTCCCAGGGAAGATGGCTGGTTTGGGGTCTTCTTGCTTCTAAGAGTTAGACACTACCAGAGAAATAGAAAATGGAAAATGGCCAAGGCTGAAATGCTCAGATAATGCCAGCAAAGCATCACTCTAAACGCAGCAAGAAAAAAATAAATGATTCTTTTGAAAGATGATGCTCCATAGCAAATAAAAACAGACAGAGAAGTAGTCTCCCGAGACCAGTTTAGCTCACTGACTCTCAGGTCGCTAGGAATTTATTTGTCCACCTAAAACCTGGGTGATAGAGCCAGAAGTCTAGCTCCAGTCTGCCTGCTCACCTAAAACCTGGGTGATAGAGCCAGAAGTCTAGCTCCAGTCTGCCTGCTCACCTAAAACCTGGGTGATAGAGCCAGAAGTCTAGCTCCAGTCTGCCTGCTCACAAAGCCTGCCTCTTCTCCCCAAAGCCCTCTCTTCAGCCTACTTCCATTTTAGGCTCATCTGCTGGCATATAATTTATTATTATTGGTCTTTGAGACACATAAAATATTATTCCTCCTCCCTTAAGAAAAAGATTAAAAAGACAAATAGTGGTGAATGCCTTTAATCCCAGCATTCAGGAGGCACAGGCAAGCAGATCTCTGTGCGTTCGAGGCTTGCCTGGTCTACAGAATAAGTTCCAGGACAGGCTCCAAAGATACACAGAGAAACCCTGTCTTGAAAAATCCAACCTCCCCCCCAAAAAAAACAAAAACAAACAAAAAAACCACAAAAAAACAGTGGCACACACCTTTAATCCCAGCACTTGGGAGGCAGAGGCAGGTGGATCTGAGTTTGAGGCCAACCTTATCTACAGAGTGAGTTTCAGGATAACCAGGGCTACATAGAGAGACCCTGTCTTGAAAATAAACAGATGAAGTCCCCGGTCTTCAAAGGCTACACCACCCCCTCACACTGGAGTCTGGTGACAAAAGGCCACGTGTCCTAAAGGAGATCTGCTCTCCACCAAACGGGATTAAAAGGAAGGGTCAGTGTGCTTATATTTCCCTGAAAATAGAATAAAGTAAACAAAGTCGTTCTGTCTTTGGTGTGGAAGTTTTCACTTCATCAAACTGTTCTCTGGTTGGCAAATGGAGAGAACTGTGAGCAAGGAGCCGGTTAGTTTCAAGTATTCTCTTATTCTACCCGGAGCCTTTCTTTTCAAATCCCTTAGAGAAACTCCACCATCAGGAGGAACTGAGGGGATGACTGTTTAATTGCATGATGAACCCTGACCAGCGGGGACCCCCTAGCTGGCAGCTCCTCTTCACGTGTAAAGACCATGGTGTTCTAGTCAGGGCAGAGTCCAGGGAAGGCACCTAAAGTCCTCGAACTTCATAAAGTCCCGACTCCTTTCCACTCTAGAGCTGACAGCCTATCACTGCTGTGATGGTGCCGGCGGCCTTGGAAGGTTCTGCCAGGCAAGACGCCGGTACAAGGCATCCCTTAAACAAGCAGGAGCTAAATGAAACATTAACATTAGTAGGTTAACGAATGCTTTTACGAATTTCCTGTTAATCTGACTCTGAGTCAGGGGCGTCAGATCCTGAGAGCAGTAGAAAGCATTAGGTGCCCTGGCTGTAACAAGTCTTCAGTTACTTACCCAGCTGCTCCAAGAGGTCAGTCAGCTGGCTGAGGAGGCTGCTCACAGAGTTCTTGGCTTTTCTGGCATTGAGCTCAGCTTCCTGAGCAGCCTGTGAAGCCTGCAGGGAAAGAGGGTAAACAACATGAATACTTCTGACTCCATGTTTCCATCTTCTCTAAATATTTTCCTCCGGTGAGCCAGCAGATCTATTTTCAGAAGTGTCCCCCCTTTCTAAGGGATGAGTCACACTTTCTCTGCAGGTCTGGGGTGGTGTCTTCAGGTGGAGGATGTTATTTCTACTGCGCAGAACAGTCAAAATCCCTATTTTTGTTTTGTTTTTTGACAGTCTTGCTATGTACCCTAAGCTGGTCTCAAACATGACAGCTCCTCCTGTCTCAGCCTGAGTCCTGGGACTATAGGAATATACTACCATGCCTGGCTTCCCTTCATGACATATGCATTCAGAGAAACAATACCATCCCATTTCCTCACTTCCTCTATTCAAGAATACCTGTGACAAACGCATGATAAAATGCATTGAGTAGAAATAGATTCTTTTTTAAGTACAGATTGAATACAGGAACAGAATGTGGATACTCTTAGGTACCTGATTATTAGAGATGTCCTATTCTTTTAGAGTTTTCATAAGCAAAGCAAGGCTTTTCTGAAAATTCTGTCAACTACACACACACACACACACACACACACACACACACACACACACACATAATACAATGGCTATTTTCAGAGTCAACCAAAGGTAAATATACTTGGGAAAGTTCCATGAAACCTGACCAAACACACTGGGCATGAGTCACAGGAAGCAGCAGTGGAAAAGGAAGCACCCAGACCTCAGAGAGCAGATGCTCTCACCAGTGAGCCCAACAAGACAGAAACGAGGGCCTGAACTCCCCACCGGGAATTATTTTTCCTAGTTCTGGGGTGAAGACAAAGCAAACACTGAGGGATCAAAACAATGTGAAAAATTTAAAAACAGAAAAAATAAAAAATAAAAAGCTTTCACAAATAAATGATTAACTCAGTTCAAATCGCAGCTGCTCTCAGGGAGCCGCACAGGCTTCTTGTGGGTGTCCTGGGACTTCGACACAGGACTCTGCTGGGTTTAACCTGTGGCCTTCGGCATCTTCCAGAAAGAACCACAACCCCTCTGGTTGAAGAAAATGTTAGACCAAGACAACACCAGCTGAATGTTAGGCTTTGAGAACTGATGTAAATACAATGGGCTGGTGTATGAGGGGATGGCTCACTGCTCCCAAGAAGTTATGGACCAAGGCTGACAAAGAGAATGGATTCTCTTTCTACCTCTGAACGAAGCCCACAGCCCCTTTTGGAACTCACCAATATGTACCCTTCACTTTTTTTCAACATGCTTTAAATACAATGCTTCCATCAAAACGAAATTCACAGGGCCAGCAGGACAGCTCCGAGGGTAAGTTGTCACGAAGTTTGATAACTTCCTGAGTTCTATCCCCAAATCCACATAGTGCAACCCAACTCGCACAAGTTGTCTTGAGATGTCCGCACGTGCGTTATGGCATGCATGCATGCATGCATGCGCGCGCATGCACACACACACACACACACACACACACACACACACACACACACACACACGAAACAATTACATTTTAAAAAAGTGAAGCCCAGAGACTCTCTGCACAAAAAAGAAATACTGATTTCTGCTTCATGGTAATTTCCATTTGATCCTCATTTTTGCATTAAAAATCAGGACAACTAGCACAAAGTTTAAAAACAGCAGTTTAGCCAGTCGTGGTAGTGTGTACCTTTAATCCTAGCACTCAGGAGGCTGAGACAAGAAGATTTCTTTGAGTTCAAGGCCATCCTGGTCTAGAGAGCTCCAGGTCAGGCAGGGATTATACAGTGAGACCACCCTGTCTCAAAAAACAAAACAAAAAACCCAGCTGTGTGCACAGAGAGGCATACAAAATTTAATTGGTATCACTTCACCAGACCTTGTATTTCTCCTTTCTATCCAAAGTGAAAATGACCCACAGCAAGAGGCCCTGTTTTGGGGCCTTGAAAGAATGGGGTTCTTCCTGACACTGGAAGTGTGTGAGTGAGCAAGCCCATGTATACTGTTCCTGTGAAGGCAACTCGAAACAGGAAAGGACTATTCCCACCAGTCCCACACCCCAGGAAGGTCTTTCTAATGCAAAATATAACACGGATTGAAGAAAAATACCCCCTCACTCCCCTTGTGGCACACAGTCACAAACAGCTCTGTCGTGAGCGGCACGATGCATGCACGTCAGCACAGAAGGTGCACAGTGAGAGCAGATGCACGGCTGGTGTGCTCCGGTGCACTGCTAGAGAATGTGTCACACACGTTTGTGTAAGAAACTGGTCTCTGCCTCTAGTGAGCGAGCAGCTGGGAGAACTAAGGGAGAAACTGGCTTTTTGTGGCATTCTCCTTTCAAAAAGACTTCATTTTAATTTATCTCATGTATGAATTACCCATTCAACTACAATAAACACACACACACAAATGAGGGTTTTTTTTTTTAAGTGTTCTAAATCTCCAGCTGCGGGGGAAATGTTTTGCTTCTAACTGAGCGGCTTTGGGACAGGCAATTGTGCAACATCAATACCTGGCAGAAGAGCAAATTCTTTGCCTTCTACGTAAGCTGCTGACCTAGTTTTTGACCAGAAAATGCAAGGCAAACCTGAAGTTCACTGAAAAGGGCATTGGGGGTTGGGGGGTCTTTCCCAGTGAGCACCCCTCCACACTGCCTCTGGACAACAGTGGGGAGCCCTTACCATCCCCGCCATCATCATGTCCTGGTCGGCATCGTCTTGTTTCCTCTTCAGCTCGTTCTCTGCTTCCTCTAGCTGCCTCAACATAGTGTTCACCTCGTTATCCAGATCTGTAACTTCGGCAAAGGTTCTTTCGGCGTCGGCCTTGGTGCTGGTGGCATTCTAGGCACAGAAGAAACAGCTGACCAAAGCAAACCAAAGACCCCAGAGCAGCTTTCCTTTTCCAGAACGCATCCTTACTCCCTTTTACAATCTGTGAAATGGTTAAAAACGCGCCCCAGAAAGAACATCACAATGACGTGTGCTATTATGACCCACCTCTCACCACTTACTGGTTTCTCATAAAAAAATAAAAAAATTACTGTCAAACACAACAGCATTTATACAGCACTTTCAACTGTTCTCTCTTCTTCAATCTTGGAGATTTCCTGTTCTATTATAACCATTTTTAGCTGAGGTCACACAGAGGACAAGTAAAAATTTAATTGTGAACACTTTCCCACCATATTGTATGTATCCTTCATTGGATATGTTAAATCAAAAGCTTGCCTTGTGAGTTTATTCTTATACGTTTAGCATCATGTACAAAAGACTACATCCTGAAATATGAGCATTTTATGAAACAGAATCTATCAAAATTTTCTGTAATTCTCAGACACTTAATTTTAAAATAAGCTCTAATCTTTCCTTAACATAAAACAACTAGGTCTTTAAACAAAAAGAACCAGCCTAAAGAAACTCCTTTTTACAGCGAGTAGAAGAGCCTCTGCAGTGGTGGCCACAGTAGCTCTGTGCATGGTCTGGAAGTCACATTGATACTCGTCATAAGACTGTGCAGGCTCAGGGAGTCTGTTTATTTAGCAAAGGCCCAAACTCTTGTGGGCAGGGGCTCTGCAGCACTCTGGGACCACTGCTGTGGATGTCCTTCTGTATGCTGTGAATATGTGTTGCTCTGATTGGTTGATAAATAAAGCTGTTTGGCCTATGGCAAGGCAGCTTAGAGGCAGGTGGAAATCCAAACAGATAGACAAGAAGAGAAAGGAGAGGCAAGGCAGATGCCATGAGCCAACGCCAGGAGAAGCAAGATGTAAGGTATTGGTAAGCCACAAGCCATGTGGCAAAATACAGATTTATAGAAATGGGTTAATTTAAGATATAAGAGCTAACAAGAGGCCTGCCATAGACCATACAGTTTGTAAGTAATATAAGTCTCTGTGTGTTTACTTGGGTCTGAGCAGCTGTGGACCAGGCTGGTCATAGGAAAAACTTTCAGTTACAGACCACCCTCTTCACAACTCAGATCCGACGCTGAGACGGTAGCAGGTCCTCTTACTGATTCTCTTTCCTCAGTCACGTACATATTCTTACGTGTATTGGAAAGAAGATAAACAAGGATAGTTCAAGACAGTTTTGCTATAGCAGAGAAAGAACTCTGCAAGGACTCGAGTTTAGAAAGCATGAGATGTGCGTGAGCAGGGGTTGGAGAAGAGGGAGGCGCTCACCTTCTGCACAGCGCTGGCGATCCTCTCCGCCTCGTGGGCTTTGTTTTTGGCCTCGGTGGCGTCGGCTGCAGCATTGCCCAGAGCCAGCTGTGCCTCCCTTGTCTTCTCGTTGGCCTCAGCTATGGTCCGGTTGATGGCGGGGATCCTCCGCAGAGCCTCCTCTGCAGCTGTCTTGTTATCATTCACGCGTCTATCAAAATCTGAAAGGAGTTCAAGGCACACATTTGAATTAAACTGCCAAAAAGAAACACCAGACTGCAACTGGATTTTGTTTTAGATGCAGTAAAAATCTGTTGAAAACAAACAATTGAGAATTGGGACTGGGCTCTCGGAGAGGAAGAATACGCAGATCCCTGTGCAGAGGTTTCCAGGACCAGTCACACAAATGCACATCTGTTTCTGAGCAGAGTTCCTACTCAGAAAGCCGTGTGGAGCCCGGAGTACATCACCGCTTTAGCCGGTGTCTTCAGTGTTGGCTGTGTGTCAGGTGCAGCATGGCAGACTTCTGACACATGGAAAGCCAGCGACTAAAGAGGCTAACCTGTGGAGCAGGCACTCAGGCAGACCCGCTGATACCAACGCTACACTTGGAACTATCATGCTTACAAATCCTCCTCCTTTATAGAACCTCTGACTATTTTTACAGACATGGACCAACCCCTCAGTGAACCAGGCATCTTTCTCTAAAACGAAGAATTAGATGTCAGTGGTAGAAAAAAATGAAAGAAAATCTCCATTTATCATTGAAAGTCAGCTAAGCAGGCAGACTGCGGAGACGGGAGGTAGTCTAATACAGACCAGCCCTCCTACTCATGTTTTTTTGTTTTCAGACTTAAGAATACAGGGGTGAAATGACAGAGGCACTCTGATTTTTCTTTCAAATACATGAGCTCCAGATTCCGCAAGAGATCCTACCTCAATAAATAAAGGTGAAGAGCCATTAAGAGATACCTGGAGTCAATTTCAGGTCTACACACCCACCCACCCACCCACCCCCCCCACACACACACACGAGTGTGGAGGTTAAACTAAGTACAATAAAAGATCATGGTTAACTATTGAATCTAAGTAGGCAGTATATGGGATTTACTACACTATCCTGTTCAGAGAGAATCATACTAAGAATGAAATGGAAACTGACTCAGTGACCACCTCCGCAGAGGCCAGGCAGAGACACGGCTGCTGCCTGACCCGCTCGTACCTTTGAGGTTGTTGAGAATGTCATTGGCCTCTTGTAAGGTATTGCGTCCCTTTTTAGCAGCTTCTTCAGCAAGAGCCTTGGCAGCGTCAGCTCGAGCTAGGAGTTGGTCGGCTGTCTGCAAATGCATGGCAGGTCAGAGGACAAACCTTTTGGGGTCAGCTTTTCCCTCTAACAGACAAGCCCCTCACGGCCACAGCCTGCAAGAGACTGAAGCGTACAGACAGGCTGTGCACTAGACACGGCTCACACCTGAGCTGTTGAAACTGTTGCCCCCAGAAATACAGCCAGCAACAAATCACACTGACCTGCTGTTCAGCTTTTCCTTTCTCTAGAAGGTTCTTTACTTCCTGTTCCTTCCCCCTCATATCTTCCCTAAGGTCCTCATAATCCTTTAGCTTCTGGTCAATTAGACGGTCCAGATCCGCAGCTTCTTTCTTGATTTTATTTGCTTCATTCTGTGACAGAAATGTAGGATCACTACGTTTATATGAAAGTTTGGCACTAAATGACAAGGGAGCTGAGGAATGCTGTAAGATTTAAGGCTCAACTGACAGTTTTCAAGGACAGCAGAGGTCAAGATTTGTGGATTTTTTTTTTTTAAACCAAGTATACTTGAGCGATTTCCCAATGTTCCCTGCACTTTGATTAGTTTTTCACAGCTTTTGCCAACCTACAACGCAATCAAGATGCAAAACACATCTTCCTACATGAAGCTCCCTGGGGTCCCTTTCAAGTAACTCTCCCCACCTCTCTTCCCTTAGCTGCGGCCCTCCTGACTGCCATCATATCAGTCCTGTCTATTTTCACACTGCACACACATGGACTCAGTGAGCATTAGGTGTCTGAAGAGAACTAAACCTTGGGTTCCAGTCAACATCTCAGATATAGGAAATAAGATGGCAAATTTCAGTTTAGTGCTAAAGATATTTATATGGGAGCTTTGTATGAGGAACCATGTTTAGAATGAAACACAACACTACCAACTCACGAGTTTCTACCTGCCCCTGAGCATGCTGGCACAGTTCTTGCAGGCTCTTCCCTCTTAGTGCTCTCTAGATCTCAGTTAAACAATGCTTAGGAGGAAGGCTCCAGCCACACTCTGCTTCAAGTAACTCAAATGTATCACAGTTTGGATTTATATGAAACATCCAGAGGAAGTATTCATATTACCAAAGTAATCCTTGCTCCTTCAGGTCTACAGTTCTTTATCTCACTAGGTTCTATCTGCATAATTCAAATTAAAAAATTCACCTCTACCAGTGAGTCGGCTGGAGATCTGGAAGGGAGAAGCAGGGCAAACTAGGGGGACAGGGATGTAGGTGACCTCAGGGACCAGAGTCTCTGCACGCATACCTCCAGCGCCTCGGAGTCCACAGGGGTCAGCTGGGCCACACTGGCGTAGATCTCCACAGCTCTGTCACCTGCCCTCTTGGCTTCCTCATGGACTCGGGCAGCCTGCTTCTCCAGGTCCTCAGAGATGTTCTTTGCTTGTTCATACCTAAGGAACGAATCATGTAATTCGATTAAAAAATAAACATCTTAATATTAATCAGATACAATCTAGTTAATATCCCTGGGACCACAGCTCCAAAAACCTAAAAGGAACTGCTGTACCAAAGGCTCTCAATTTGATACCAACACTTAGCTAAACATTACATTTCATTTTCTCAATTCTATTTAGCTTACCATATGTAAACAGGGCATCCCTAACCCCGAATTCCAACTCTGGGACAGTTTCAGCACTCTTACAATACCACAGGAGGAGAACGTCACACCTGATTCCAAGATTTCATGGCTGCTATCAAACTGCAGGCACACTACAAATGCCATGTAACATTTTAGGCTACGTGTACACAGACATAAATGAACTCTGTATTTAGACTTGGGTCTCACTCACAATCTCATTATACATGCAGATACACACACACACACACACACACACACACACACACACACACACACACACACACCCCTAAGTCCCAAACACTTCTGATCCCTAACCTTTCAGAGCAGAGATATTAAATGTATACATTTTATACATTCTTCCTTTAGACCCGTTTAAAGGTTGGCAGCTTGCACATTTTCCCACTCTCTCTAGCATTTCCTCTCTTCAGTCTCCATCCATGAAGTCTCGGAAGTCCACGGCTAGTCTAGCCCCATCCTCTGTGGTCAGAGCTGGAGTGCCTGCACACCCCCTGCCCTAGCCACTCCAGCATTCTGAAGTGTGATGAACCCCGTAGCACATGAGCTTACATACACCCCAGGCCCACAGCACAGGACTGGGAGCCACTTCCCAGGCACTCACTTCCTGTTGAGCTCTTCGATCTCCAATGTGGTTTGATTCTCTCCTTCCAGGGTCCTCAGGAGCAGGTTATAGGCCTCGGTCGACGTCTCATTGGCTGTCTTTGCCACTCGGACAATGTCATCAGCTTCCTGCTTATGGCTGTACATGTAGGGGGGAAAATTAAAAATAAACCATGAGTGAGATCACTCAATCAGGAAAGAAATAAAATTTAGGTAACATTTACTTTGTTATATTTCCATATACTAATATGGGCAGAGACCTAGGAATACTGGAAAGTCCCATTTGGAATTTCACAATCATTTCAGGCAGCTAAATTTACAAAAAGCATTCTGTAACCTGAGAAAAAAGGGGTATTTTCTAAGAAAATCAGTGGCACAAAACTACTGGAGCAAATGTGTGTTTTCTTAGAAAACCTGCTTTTTGGTTGGGTGTGCCCATAACCCTAGCACTGAGGCAGAGGATCAGGAGGTTCCAGGCCAGACGAGATACACAGTGAAAATGTCTCAGAACAGGTAGGGGGAGACGGAGGCAGGCAACTAACTTTAGAATGTGAGTAATTTATATATAGCACCATGTACCCAGAAACTGCGTATCTAGTCAGCAACCCAAACCCCAGGCCTGATCTTTATCATACAGTCTGCTGGCCTACACAGTTACTCCACAGTCTCTACACGGCTACTCCATAGTCTCAACACAGCCTGTCTGTTCAGACTTTCTTATTTGACCTAATAACTGGAAGAAAAAACACCACCAAATAGCAATGAACGTGTTGACTGGGACTCCAGTCAAGCAACACATCTCAGCTGGGTAACTAACAATGCTAATGAATTTTCCACTTCTAACACTTCATGTTGAACTGTGACACCCAGATGTGGCCATTCTCCTTGGCATAAGAAACTTTCCTTCTACGTTCTCGCACGAAACCCACCGGATCAGTAAATCTCCAAGACCTAGGTTTCTGGGGAGCTCCCTGTTTTCAGCTCTCTTCCTTTAGTGAGAAAATCCGGCTATAAAACCATGAATGTTCTGCAAAGCTGATTACATGGCTCACCACGTCACACTTACTCAGAATAGAAAGCAGCCTGCTGAGGTCAACATAACCTAGAACCTGTGGACGTCCACGCCACTGCTCTGGACGGTGTCCAGTGGACGTCTGCACAGACTTCCTCCTGTACTCCATCCCGCTGAGGTTACTGAGTGCTCTGCCCCGGGGCTTCACACAAAGGGGCCTGCTCTCAATGAGGCCTACATTTTAGCCATTTTGTAAAAATTGATTCCTTCTGCAATGTAAAGCCTTCTAAAGAAGTTATAATGAATTCAAAGGTGTCTAAAAGAAAAACCAACCGGGAATGAAATAAATGGTCAGTGTTCCTTGGCTTACTTCCAAATGTGCAATGAGTTAGTAAGTGTTTTCTATTGAGAACTGAAAATTAAATATTTGTTGAAAAACTAATGTAAAAATTTAAATTAATAACTTCTATTGGGTTTCTTAGAAATCTATAAATTTGAAGGCTTTACAGTTAAAAAAATCTAAAAAAGTTACAATCTGTGAAATACGTAAATATAATTTTGTTCTAAACTATTATATTCTAATACTTAAGGTAAACATTCCCCAGTGAAAGAAAAGGAGTGTGCGTAGCTGGTAACATCTCAGCGAGGGTAAACCTTCTGATGGAAAGTATCGGGGGGGGGGGGGGGGGGGGGGGGGGGGGAACAGGGCGACACCCATGTATCAGAGCTTACCGCTCTGCCAGCCTTCGGGCCTCTTCGGCCAAGAGGGTCATGTTGTTCGGTTCCCCTGCAGACTCTGGCTGAGTGATCGACTGAAGAGGAAAAAAACACTTCTCAAAAGACTGAATTGTTTCAATTCCATAAAGCAAGTAGTAGCACTCATTTTTTGTTAATTCTTATGAAAAATACTGTTTTTTCTTATTTTCAGAGATCTTCTGAGCCGCACTTTGACTGGAAATGATTTCTGTTCTGAGTGCTGCAGAACAGACAAGTCAGAGAAAGAACCTAGACATCCCTCAGTTTTTATCCAGCTCCTCTGTTTTGTGGCAATTGCTGAAACTGAACCTGAGGTGACTCTCTCAGGGCCCCAGGTTTGAACCCCTGGGCCTTGGCTGGCCTTTAGGGAGGCTATGAACCTCAGGAGGCGGGTCACTGGGACAGGCCTTCACGGGTGTAGCCTGCTCCACTTCTGCCCCATTTTTGGCTTCTAGATCTGGCTGCTATATGAGAAGCCACCACAGACTTCTGCCACCACCATCAGCTGCCCGGTGCTTTGCCCACACTGAGGAACTGAGCCAAAGAGGCCTCTCCGACTTAAGCTGTTTCTGTTCGCTTTGCCACAGCAAGCAGTAAAGCAGCTGCTTCCATGACTATGACATCGTCCTCTCCTGCTCCAGAAAGTCAGGCAGGAGGATGAAGACACACATTTGTAGCAGATCTGTCGGTGGAGCAGAATGAGTCACTCACCACATTGGCAGCAGCCATTTTTGCTTTCTCAAGCTCCCTGGAGGCAATCTCAATGAGCTGCTCTGTGCTCTCCACTCGGGTCCGTGCCTGTTCAGCCAAGATCCCGGTCTCTTCTATAGTATTCCGGATATTCTGCAGTCGGCTAATTTGGCTATGCAGACTGCTATTCACTCTCTGAAGGCGATCCATCAAATTTTGATCTACATCTGAAAGAGCATTGCGGACAGTCTGTAAGTGAGCTGAAGGGACATACCATCTTCTGTGAAGCTGGGGTCCCTTTATTATCCCCAGTAGCATCTTTTAGACACATTTCCCTAACCCTAGCAGAGGTGCTGTCTCCAGTCTACCCCAGCATGCTCTCACTGCACTGTCTGTCCCAGGTGCCCAGTCCCTTTCCATTCATCTCTGGAGCCACCATCTTACACAACAGTCAGCGAAGCACAGTCATCAAGCATGCAGATAGTTGATGAAGGAAAGTAAACCTGATCCTCATATATGACACACGCCGGACTTAACCACAACTGCATAAGATCAAAATGTTGCCAGCCCTAAAAACCTGACATAGAACTATTAAAAAGTACATTGGAAGCAGACACCAGGTGTGATCATGGGAGCTATTAATCCCAGCACTCAGGAGGCTGAGGCAGGTGGCTCTCTGTGTGTCCCAGGCCAGTCTGGTCTACATGGAGTTCCAGGACAGCCAGGGATACAAAGTAAAACCCTGACTCAAAACAAACAAAACGGACACCCTGCCAGCCAGCTGCTGGGGCACCACAAATTCAATTCTTTGTGTTTTAAACTAGGTATACTAAAAAAATAAAAAATAAACTAGATATACTTTTTGCTCCCGCCCCCCCACACCTCTGTCCTAGCACATGTATGTAATTTTCAGTTGGATCTCTCCTTCTACATTTCCTCAAATTGTACTTTACTATTCCATTCAACTTAAACATCATGCTGGGTCCTAATAAATCAAATGATAAATACAAACCTGTGCAAATATAAAGCCTGCCAATATCAAATTCTCACATGTCATAAGGTTTTATGAATATACAAAAATTCAAGTTCTATTTAAAACTGACCCGTTCTTGGAACAGAGAACAACTTAGAAGTACACCCACACATCTGCAGCCAGCCAGCCTTCAAGAAAAGTTGTTGAGAACACACACCAGGAAAAGGGCAGTCAGTTCAGTCAACAGGATGGGGAAAGCAGACCACCACACAAAGAATGGACCTTTAACTCTACCAGTGACCAACACCAACCTGAACAAACTAAACACCCGAATAGAAGGCATGAAATAATGAAATTACTGAAAGAAAACAAAAATGCTTCAAGGACTCTGGAAGGATTTCTTGGACATGACCCCCAAAACACAGGAAGGAAAAGGAAAACTAGGCACATGCACTGACATCAAACTGAAAGGCTGCAGAGCAAAGCAGACCGTCACGAGTGTGCAGAGACAACCACAGACTGGGGGAAAGTAAGCCCCAACTGTGCATCTGGTAACACTTGAGAACTTAAAAACTCATTACCCAAAAGGGAAAAAAGTTAACAATGGGCAGCACACAGAAACAGACATTTCTCAAAAGAAGACACACAAATGACACACAGGTATATGCAACAATGTTTCACACCATCAATCATCAGGAAATTCACGTCAAAACCTCAGTCAGTGTGGCTACGGTCAAAAAGCCAGGAGAACAGGGCTGGAGAGGAAGACAAACCTGCACACTGCCGTCAGGGATGGGAGTTACCCAGGCATCGTGGCAAACACTAGACCCACCTGACCCAGCAATCCCAATCCTATATACACATTCCAAGGGGGCCTCAAAGGGACGCCTGCAATCCCATCACGGAGATGCCATGCTCAGTAGCCAAGCAGTAAAAACAGTAAATGGGTCCATGCATCAAGGAATAATGAAACGGTACATAGACACGAAGAGACACAGTGCAACCGTAAGAAGGAACGAAATCCTATCATTTGCAACTGATCAACACTGAACATTATAAAGAAAGAAGGGGCTTTGAAAGCTTTCACCATGAAGAAGTAATAAATGTTTGAGGAGTAAGTATGTTTAACCTGATTTAAACTGTGCAGTGCATATATGTACCCATATCAAGACATTATTACTCTATGAATATCTATAATTTTTATGTTCAATGTATAACACTGTGTCCTGCTTAGAGGGCTCCTTCACAAGTCTTTGATAATCTAGAGAATTTTAAGAAACTATAAAAATACAAACAGCCAGGCGGTGGTGGCGCACACCTTTAATCCCAGCACTCGGGAGGCAGAGCCAGGCGGATCTCTGTGAGTTCGAGGCCAGCCTGGACTACCAAGTGAGTTCCAGGAAAGGCGCAAAGCTACACAGAGAAACCCTGTCTCGAAAAACCAAAAAAAAAAAAAAAAAAATACAAACAAGTTTATATCAGAAAAGCATCAGCCAATGCTATTAAAGTAGTTGCTAGCCTTTAGACCAGTGGTTCTCAACTTATGGGTCGCGACCCTCTTGTCAAACCTCTATCTCCAAAAATATTCATGATTCTTAAGTCACAAATACAGTTATGAAGTAGCAACAAAAATAATTGTATGGTTGGGGTCGCCACAACATGAGGAACTGTATTGAAGGGTCGCGGCATTAGGAAGGTTGAGAACCACTGCTCTAGACTCTCGGGAACCAACCGTCACACCTCATTGTCCAGTTCTCCAGAATGGCACCACAAAAGACAGACACTAACTGGTATGCTCCTGTCAATCGTCCTTCAAGTCCCAGTGTCTACCTGTTAGCCCTACCTGTGCCATATCATCTTCTTTCAAATCTGCACATCGAGCACTTTTCCACTCCAAGTGAATACTTACAGTCTCAGAAGCCAAACCATTACAAAGGCATCTTCATTCTTGGCTAGTCTGAACCTAAGCAGGAAAGGTCAGCCGGGGACTCCACAACTGAGGAACCTCAGAAGGAATTTAACGCCTGCCTACGGAGAGGATCTCAGGGCTAGGGGAAGCAACAACCCACTGTACTGCCAGCCTGCAGGTGGTGCTGGGAAGTATGGTAGAGTTTCCGGCCAGCAGATCGTCTACGCGGGCACAGGGAATATGTGGTTACTGTGGCCAGAGGACATGGCCAGTAGCTCAGCTCTACCAAGCTGTATGGAATGATAGTGCCCAGACCTGCTGCCCTTCTTTGGCCCTGGGCCTACTCCTGTATGTTGGTGGTATTGGCCCAGAGCTTTCTGTCATGCCCTGGTTAACCCAACTGGCACAACAGAATATAACCAACCCTATGCCTTAGTATATACAGCAAACAACATGTGAATTTGTTGCTTTAATAGAGCATGTTAATGGGAGACCGCATGCCAAAGTGGTTGGCAACGTGAACATTCTAAATGGGAAGGGTTGTCCATCTTCCTAGGCAGTGCTTACCACTTAAGATGATACAAAGAACCCCAAATAAACACACAGATGCACTAACATTATAATAAGCCACCGACATCAGATGTTTTTCAACTTCTAAAAAAGCCTCACAGGGAGCAAATGTGGACTCTCATAAAAAAAGGAATCAAACAAACTTGGCGAAACCCAGCTATGTCCAGTTGCTTCCTTCCCTATTTCAATAATCATACAAAATCAAAATTCTATACATTAGTGTGATACTTACATGAAGAGAAAAAGCAACATATTTAGTTTCTGACCTAAATTCTTTTTTTTTTTTTTTGGTTTTTCGAGACAGGGTTTCTCTGTGTAGCTTTGCGCCTTTCCTGGGACTCACTTGGTAGCCCAGGCTGGCCTCGAACTCACAGAGATCCGCCTGTATCTGCCTCCCGAGTGCTGGGATTAAAGGCATGCGCCACCACCGCCCGGCCTGACCTAAATTCTTAGACAGGCAGACTTCTCCATGTAACTTCAAATGAATACATATTTATATACTCAAAGTGGAACTGGTCACTGCTGCCCCATGCATGCTAATTTTTTTTTTTTTGTTTGTTTGACTAGCCTGGAATATATATAAGGAGTGCCAGGGTCAGCCTGAGCTACAGTGAGACTGTCTAAAATCAAATTTAAAAAAAAAAAAAAACTGCAAGTAGTTTAAAAACTGAGAATTTTATAAACACCATATTAATTACAAACTAGAAATGAGATGACAGTCACCAGTTTGTCATGTATACCTTTGACATCCTGAGCCTCACGAAGGAGGTCGGTAACCTCTCTCTCTGCCTCCTTCAGTCTATCCTCAAAGGCTTGGTCCGTCACCATCTCATCCCCAGTGCCGAGGTTTGCTATGAGGCTCTCTAACTCCTGGAGTTTCACTCGGTGCTCAGCAACCTAGGAAGGACGAAAAGAAAACTCAGCGGGGTGTGCTGCAGGAGGCACAGGGCGCGAGAAGTGGGGAGACTGTGCCCCTCACAGAGGCTCTACTGACAGACCCACAGCTCCGGCCTCCCCCGTGAGCATCACTTAGACCTCTGCCAGGCATCTCAACCTGACCTCCAGAACCTGTTCTCCCTGGGGATCCTGTAAACAACATCTCCAGCAACGTTAAGAAAGACCCCAAGGCCCATTCTCGGTTCTTCTTTTTACCTCCCCTGCTCTCTACCACACATATTATCTCATCCCTTCAAAGGCTTTCCCTTCATCCCATCCCGAAAGATCATTCTTCATGTGGCAGTCAGGACACTCTTAAAATACAACTGGACTTCTGTACATTTCCACTGCATGTGGGAATGATTCCTAAACTCTTCACTTACTGTCGACAAGGTCCTATATAACCGGCCACCAACGAAGTTCCTCCACAGGGCAGGGTCCAGGCAGCCTCCAGGTTCCAGGCCTTTGCCTACATTTCCTCTTCACATGGCTCCCTCCTCCTCACCCTTCAGATCTCACTTCGCAGGAGTTTCCTTACAGAGGCCTTACACAGTTTCTTACCTTTCCCTATTCTTTCAGCCACGTATCTCAGGTGCTCTCTTATGTACATACGTACGTACGTACGTACTTCTGGTCATTCCCCCTAACTAGGCTGTATTCCTCTGAGTTCACTTTTTTCTCTGGAGCCTGGAGTGTACTGAGTTTCCACTTCACGTCTGCTGAACAGATGAGACATAACGAACGAATGAACGCACTGCAGCTTACCTTATCCTTCACCAGCCGGTAACAGGCTGGGCACTCCTGGCAGCCAGGCCAGGACCGGTTGTAGAAATAGTTTTCCTCACACCGGTCACAGCGATCCCCCACAAAGCCTTCCCTGCATTCACAGCGGCCATCGTCTTTACACTGGAGCGAAAGGGAGCCTTCGTGATGACAGTCACAAGCTACAGATCGAGAAGACAATTCTCTTTAACTGGTTGTTTCTAAGTACTTGAAAAAATTCATGTATGGGATTTTAGATGGCTAAGTCCATTTAGCAGAGAAGACAGACATTTTTAGTTGTAAAGTAAACCATGCACCCTTTGGGGCACACTGTGTGTGGTGTATGTGTTCATATGTGCACACACATGTACGCATGTGCCTAGAGGCCAGAGGTCACCACTGGGTAACTATCCTCCTCTATCACTTTATGCCTTATTCTTGTTGATTTTTATGTTTTGTTTTTTTTGAGACAGGGTCTCACTGGCTGGCCTGGAACTCACTCTAGACCAGGCTGGCTTCAAACTCACAAGAGATCTGCCTGCCTTTGCTTCCCGAATGCTGGGATTAAAGGTATGCATCACTGTGCCCAGCTCTCAACAACAGGTAAGACTGGCTGGCTAATGAGCTCCAAGGATCTACGTGTCTCAGCACTGGCGTTACAGACATACGCCTCCATTTTCATATGGGTGCTGGGGATCTGAACTCAGTTCCTGTGCTCATATGGCATGGACTTTATCCACTGGGTCACCCCTCTATCCCCTTGGAGCACATTTCATGTGGCATAGTAATTACAGAATTACCAGGCATTGTGGAGAATGTGCCTCTGGGAGGTGAAGGAAGGGGGAGTGAGTGGAGCCTGGGTTCCACAGGGAAGGAAATGCGCGCGCGCACACACACACACACACACACACACACACACACACACACACACACACACACGGCTTATTAAACCAAGTAGTACTCTTTTTCATATGCTTCAGGAATTCCTCTCTAAGTTCATCTTTCCCCTGCTTCAGTTTCTCTAAGAAGTAAGAAAACCCAAATGCTAACACTTGTCTTGCATTACTTTGCAGTTTGTTTTCTCACTTTGTTCTCTGAGCTGAGTCAATGACTTATGCTACATTCCACAGGAGAAATGAAGGAATTCAGAAAACAAGAACCCAAACTCTTCTGATTTCCAGGCAAGTGTTTATGCCAAGGAGAAGCAGATGTTTATAGCCAACCAAACCAAAAAGGCCCCATGGGTAGGGAGTAACCACAGTAAGTCAACAAACACTGAACAGAACCCATCACTGTTTCCTTATCTGCAGTGATAATGCGATCAATATCAAGTCTCATCAAGCAGAGTGGGCAAGCTCAGTACTCAAAGGGAATTTTTTTTTTCCCTTAGAAAATAAGATGATGGCTGGGTGGCAGTGGTGGCACACACCTTTAATGCCAGCACTCGGGAGGCAGAGCCAGGCGGATCTCTGTGAGTTTGAGGCCAGCCTGAGCTACAGATCGAGATTCAGGACAGCCAGGGCTACACAGAGAAACCCTGTCTTGAAAAACAAAAAAAAAAACAAACCAAAAAAAAAAACCAGAAAAGAGAACAAGATGCATTAAAACACACACACACACACACACACACACACACACACACACACACACACACACACACAGTGACATCAACAAGGCACAAAGGAACCAGAAAAGGCCTTGATTTCCAGAGTTTTCTAATACGGCCACACAGAGGCCATTGGGGTTCTTTCTGCACTTAAGGCACTAACTGGCGTTGGGAGACAGTGCACTGCAAACTGCCCTGTCTTACGTTTGCAGCCTTCGGGTCCAAATCCGAAGTGGTTGGTCTCACAGCGCTCACAGTGCTGACCAGTGATGCCAGGCTGGCATTCACACTGACCAGTGCGGATGTCACACTGCCCATTGGTGGAACCCAAAGCGTGGCAGTCACACCTGAAAAGAAGCACAAGGCATTTCTAAGGTCAGAAGAGCAGACTGCAAGCAACATTCTCTATCAAAAGGCAGCGTGTTAAGGACTGTTAGGCGGAATGTTAAGTCCGACGGTTCCAGCACTTTCTGTGAGTGCTTTTCAGGGCTCTTTGTCAAGCCTCAGCTGGACCAGCAGTCTCCATTCTGAAACCCTCCCAGCACTGACCAAGATCTGGGCGGAGACCCCAGGCTGCAGCCCTGGTGCATTGGTCTCAGAAGGAACCTTACAATCTGCATTTGAAGTGTCTGACACACCAGGGCTGCCACTGTGCTGCCTCTTCTGTGCCTGAAATCCGCTCACAGGGCGCCTTTCCTATACGAGACCCTAAAAACAATTCCTGAACAACATCAAGCCAGCCACTAACTGGACGCTGAGAAACTTCTGACACAGGCAGCAGAGAGCACCTCCTCCAAAGGCTCCGAAGCCTCACCTCTCACAGCCTTGGCCACTGTGCAGGTTGTAGAAGCCAGGGTCGCAAGCACCACAGTCCCGGCCCGACACGTGAGGCAGACACTCGCACTGCCCGGTCACGGGGTTGCAGTTGCTCTGCTGCTGCGCTGTGCCGTAGGGATTGCAGGCGCAGGCTGGGATGGGAAGACAGAGAGAACAACATCAAATCACCAGAGAGACGAGAGGACAGGTTCTTCAGGCCTGTGCTGTCTAGTTCAGAAGCCGCCCAGTCACACAGAGGGTGTCTGGGTAATCTGAACAAAAACGTGCCAGCAGTTGAAACGCACACTGACTTTGCTGATGACGTGGAAAAAGAACACCTACTTTATTAAGAGTTTTTAACTAATTATTAGTCGAAGCAATAAAATGTTGGGTATATTAAATTAAACACACTATGTTAAAATGGAAATTTTCCTGTTTCTTTCACACTTTTAATGCGGTGTCTAGCCATCTTAAGTTGTGCACGTGGGTCACACTGCATTTTCACAGGCCAGTCCTGCATTTGCGCAAACTTCTGTAAGTACTGAAAGAGACACAGGATGGATTTGCACATCGGTGCGTATGGTGACCGCCTCTGGCCGGTAGCTGACCTTTGCACTTGTCTGTCGGGTTGGGAGCCAGGGGATTGCCGAAAAAGCCTTCTCTGCAGCGGTCGCAGTAAAAGCCGGCCGTGTTGTAGATGCACTTGAGACACTCCCCCGTCAGGCGGTCGCAGTTGCCAACCGCGTTGAGGTCTATGTTGTCGTTACACTGGCATGGGCGGCACAGTCGCACGGGCCCATTGCTGCCCAGAGGGTCTCCAAAGTAGCCGTCATCGCAGAGCTCACACCGCTTGCCTGGGAATGAGAGAATCCGCGGTTGCAGATGACCAACGGGTACATCCTGTCTCGGCTGACCATCAGAGACAAGTGGAGACCCGGGCTGTGGCTCTGGCCCTAGGCCAGACCAGAGGAGTGGCCTTGACACACTCCCTCAGTAGGATGGTCCCTGATCTGCCCACCCCATTTCAAATTCTCTGACAACCAAGATCACGTGTTAAGATTCTTGGTAAATGAGAGGCTCAGGGCTTACCAGCCCCTGCATTCCACGGAATAGAATATCCACACAGGCTGTGGCTGAACGTGAGAAGGACAAAGCACTACTTTTGAGGCTTTAAGTTTCCCAAACGACAGGGTGAGCAGGGTCTCTCTTAGCTCATAAAAGGCACACACTATCCCTAGTCAGAACTGTCAGCCAGCGTAAACCAGGGAGCCCTAGGAGAGAATTAGGTACCGCCCACCGTCTGCTGGGGGTTAAGGCGGAGAGAGGTTCCAGTGACCGGCAGGAAGAAGGTGGAGCCAGGCTCTCGCCACCATGTTCCCTGCTCTTCTCCATCCTTTTCCACTTCTGGTCACTGACAGCCCAAGACGGGCTCTTGCTATCTATGCAGCCACCAGGGCCCAAAGGAGACTGCCACGTCTCGAGAATTTGGTCTGTCTGTTCACTAAACAACTGTTTGTGAGCATCTGCTACGCACACCGGCACTCTTCTAGGCTGTGAGTGAGGTGGATGTGGTCTCTGCTCCCACGACACTTCTGCGGCAGTCAGGGAGGTCCAGCACAGACATGCACACAAGACTGCAAACGGGGCCAGGTACAAGAGCACTCAACCAAACAGTGACGGCCGAAGGGTCGGGGAAGGTGGAGGCCGCTTTAGATGGAGGAGACATGAGGACGAGAATTCAGACAGAGGAGTCGGCAGGAAAAGACCCACGGGAACACTGAACAAGGCCACACACGGACACAGGACCAACCAGTCCAGGTCAGACCAGGGTGGCAGGAGGAAATCTGGATTTAAACCGAAGTGCTGTAACTGGAGAGTTCTTTCTTTTACTTTACTTTGACTTGTTTATTGGTGTGCACACAGGCCACGGCATGACCACTGAGGTTAGGGGACAACTAGTGAGAACTGGCTCTCTTTCGGCTCTGTGCGATCCAGGGACTTGAACTCAGGTCCTGAGGCTTAACAGCAAGTGCTCTCCCCACCAGACTACCTTAGGCCCCGGAGAGGCCTTATGTGGCATAATCTCAGAGTGTGGTAACACACACAGTCTCAGCACCTGGGAGGCTGAACCAGGAAGATCACAAACCTGAGGTCAGCCTGGACTACATAGTAAGATGGCTCAGAAGAAAAAAAAATACTACTAAAGTGACGCAATCTGATTACATTTTCACAGGATTGTTCCGGCCCTCATGTGAAGAACCGATCTTAGGCAAGCAGGTGAATCAGGGAGACCCACGGGAGATTGAACCTCAGCTGAGAGGCCTCGGTGGCTAGAATCCAGAAGGCAGCAGTCAAGAAAGTAGAGGAGGGCTTGTTTCTAAGAAACGAAAGAAAGACTCATCAAGCCTAAGCCCAAGGATTTGGCTTCAACAGGCAGGTTGTGGTGGTAGTCTGCAGACCACAGGAAAGGGAGAGGGTTAGAACTAGGGAGAGGGTTAGAACTAGGGAAAGGGGAAGAAGTCAAACACGGATTGAGTTGAGGCTGTAGCTATGTGAATCTGGAATGAAGCAGAGGTAATGAGCACATTCAATTAGCGTGGCCCAAGGAGTTTACTGACAGGCTGTGATGCAAGGCTAGGCAGAGATGGGGAATCACAGGACCAAGTGTGACAGGCAGACTCTGTAACCTGTGCTCCAGGCTGCATGGAGGGAGCAGTTACCAGATCACAAGGTTGTAGGAGCTGTTAGGGGTCACCAGCCCCCTCAAAATGGGCCCTGGAATAAATACTCTGTCCTCCTCCTCCTCTCTGACTTCAGGTGTATCGACTCCAGAGGAGGCTGGAGCTGATGCAGTCTCATGGGTTAGGAAAAGGTGGAGAGCAGACACGGAGGGTAAAAAGAAAGTCCCCAGCCCTTCACCAGGCGGGAAGGAAAGCAACAGAGGGTTGTGGCTCAGGAGAGGGTGCCCAGGGCTGAGGACACAGACTTCCTAATCCCAGGCAGAGGCCTGAAGAGATCTGATCACCTAAGGGAGGAGTGGGGATCAAATTCGGATGAAAATCCCCAGCTGGAATAAAGGGGCGATCAAACGGTAAAAGAGAACGGAGAAGGAAACCAAGAAGAGGGGCAGGTCTGACTACGGAGGTCCACATGGCCACGACACAGACCACACAGCCACGACACAGACCACACAGCCACGACACTGACCACTGACCACTAGACCTGACAAACCAAAGCGGGGGTCAGTAAGCTGGAAACATGGGTGAGGTGGGGCAGAGGGAAGGAACAGAGGCAGGAGAGTGGGAATGAGGGGCCCTCCTGGCCCTGCTGTGGGCAGCCACCAGACTCCCTCGGAGCCATCTCCACGTGAGCACAAGGGCGGCATTCCAGCTGTGATGTCTCATCTGATAAGACAGCTATTCCACATGTGATCTATACTTCAAAAGCTTGAAACTGGTTTCATATCAAACTAACACAGAGACACAAGGCAGCCTGCCTTAAACTCATTCCCAAATACAATTCGCTTTCATTTGAAAGTCTAGGATCAAGTTTCAAATCCTGCAGTCCTTATACGGCTTTGAGCGAGCGAGTAATGTTGTTTCAGCCTGGTTTTGTTTTCCTGCCCTTCACAGCAGAGACAAGGTAAGCCAAAGGGGTGTGGTCTGCCAGCGAGCCCCAACCCTCATGCTCACGGCCCTCATAGCCGCTGTGATCACCTAGGACTGATCTCATCTTATGTTCTTTGGGAAAAGAACGGAATGGGTAGAATGGGAAGAGAGGTCTACCCAAAGCTCTGGGGGAAAAGAAATTCCTAACTTGATGTAACGGACTTTGAAATACTGAAAGGATGATTTAGAGGAAGAATTTTAAAATTGTTATTTCACACTGACAGTTCCAGACAAGCCTGCACTGAAAGCCCAGTTTGGGTTCTCACTTGATGAGAGATTACGGTCTGGTGACAGTTCTATTTGGAGTCACAAAGCCTGGGCTGCAGCCGCAGCTCACCCGTGTCTCACCATACACACCCGTGTCACAGCAGACAACAGCAGACAGCCCCTCTCAGGGCTGTGAGGCCGACTGAGGCGGGCTGTGCAAACACCAACAACCACATAGAACACGGAGGAGGAGGAGCCAGGAGGACTCACCAGCGGTGCCAGTCGGACAGTGAGTGCACACCACTTCCTTTGTCTTGGGGACAATGGCACAACTTGAGCCACCAGGACAGGGACAAGGCTGGCAGTCAGAGGAGGTGCCCAGGGTGGAATCTCCATAGTACCCGTCGCCACACTTCTCACAGTGGGGGCCGTCGGTATTGTCTCTGCAGGCACAGACACCTATTTTGGGAGCAGATCGGAGCAAGCCATGAGATGTGTGAAGAGTAAGTCAGTCAACGCGTGCCGCTCCTAATGGCAAATGGAGCCGCCGCCTTCTCACCTGTCTCGGGGTCGCAGGTCTCACTGTGTCCATTGCAGGTACAGAGCACACACGGACTGTAAGGTCCAAGACTCGGAGTTTCTCTTCTGTAGCCCGAGACGCACATCTCACAGAACTGCCCTCCGTACCCCACTGGGCAGGTGCAGGACTCCACCCAAGTCGCAGGAACTCCAGGCCCAGGACGAGCACTTGCCAAGGTGACATCATCCAAATATCCGGCGCCTGTTTGCGGTATAGAAAAGAGAATCATTGAGGTGCCTTCTAGTTTCCAAAAGCTCACGAAGACTCAGTAAAACGTAAGAGTGGCCAGACCCAAGAGTCCAGATAAAACTGACCACTACCTGAGGTCATTCACCAGGAAGGATAACCAGAAAACAACATTTAAGACAACCGTGTGGTACAGGATGCTAAGCACGCTTGCGCGCGCGCACACACACACACACACACACACACACACACACACACACACACACACACAGAATGTCCTTCCACTTCCATAAAGACAAAGCAAGTTTATACTGAGCTAGACAACGGTCCACGCAATCCAGTAGAACCAGCGGCAATGCTCTAAGGGCGTAAAGGTAGGCCTTGGAGATACTACCATGTTTCCCTTCATTTCTAGTCTGCTGGAGTCCTTTGCAGTCTTTTGCTTAAAGTACATTCCTCCCACGTTATGGAGCATTACTTGCTGTTTATATAATTCATGTGGAAATTGACCAGCTAGGCCCAAGGATACTTCCATTACTGGCTTGGATGCAGCTTTTAATATGTTTATGATTTTTGCCAGTCAGCTCACAAGTTATGATGTGCTTCCAATCTCTAAACATTCTTACATCTCCCTGGCCTAAAAATACTCTTTCTTAAATCTTGCTCCTACTCCCAAATGATAACTCATCTCTTTTCCTCTCTTTCTGCCAAACTTGAAGAGAATATTCTTTATTTTACCTTCTCACATTCAAAATTACTTTTCAGAGAGTCCAGTGATCTTACTCAGCTTCATCCCTGAGCCAAAGTTAAACTCCTCACCAGTGACTTCTCAAGCCCACCTAAAACCCAGCGGTGCTCGTCCTAGGCCTACAATTATTTTTTCTTCTCCAAATTCTTTTCTTCCCTTGGGCCTCAGGACACAGACCTCAACTGTATTTCCAGGATCCCATCCCCTCTCTCTGTTTTCTGCCATATTTCCAAGTTTAAAAGTAAATGCCCAAAATGTAGACACAATCTACATTTGTAATCCAAACCTCTTCCAAGGGCCCAGATCCATATTAGTGATCACTTATAAAACATTTCTATATGGGCATTCATGCAGAGAGCTTAAAAACAAGCAAACTCAAGCGATCCAAGCTATAGCCTTCGCCTCACCAGACAGGGGGAAAGCCCTCATTAATAAGTTCTTGAAGGCATACGCTTAAACCCTTGTTTACATAACATTAAAGCAAATGTTCATTAGGTAATATATAATTTCTCATAATTTAGCCAATAGTTCAAGTCACTTGGTAATTATATGGCAGTAAATAACAAGAAATGAAGGTTAAGCAAGTTGAACCAGTAGTTATAATAGAGACTTTAAGAAAATCTATACACAATGGAATTTCAATTGGCTTATTAATTATCAAATAACACTGTCACTAATTTTAGTGAATGTTCTCCAGATCCTTGAAGACAGTTGCAAAGTGCATTTTAATACAAGGGTGACAGCAGTTTGGGTCAGTGTGAACATATCAGAACAGGGCGTTTCTTTACCACACATCCTTCTACTTCGTCACATTCTTAATTAACTCCTAAATGACATCACAACTTACTCCTCTCACTGTAGGTGCCACGGATCTTGATAGAGGTCAAGTTGTTTAGGAGCTTCTGAAATTCAAAGGGGGAAAGAGTGGGCCTCCAAGGGTAATCTGTGGCTTCATGGAGCCTGGAGAGACAGAAAGGGCACATAACCTCTGTAAGGAAGGGTAATCTGCAAGGGGGCTGTTCACTGCTCACTGATGCCCCCACAGGCATTACTGACTCACTAACCAAGTAAGAGAGCACCGCCAGTTTCTCAGTCAGCTAGAAAAGGGAAGGATAAAAGAAGGCTCATCTCAAGAGCCCAAAAGGGTTTTTACACAGAATTTCAATATGTAACCCAGGCTAGCCTTGAGCTCTCGGCAACCCTCTTGACTCAGCCTCCAATGGTCTAGAACAATTGGTATGAGCTGCCACATCTAGCCCAGAAGTTTTTCTGTAACACACACCTTGAGGCCAGATCAACTCTGACAAACAAAACAACAAAAACCCACTTTCTCTTTCTCAGCTGATCAGGTCTGAGTTGAGAGAGAGCACCGTCTCACCTGAAGATGTACTTCACAGTGGTCTCGCTAGGGTAGGAATTGCCCTGAGCAATCAAGGGCACGGACACTCTCAAGCCAGCTCCCTCAAGCACGAGATCTTCTGCAGAGAGGCGAGTGTCCCGTCTGTCCACTCGGAAGGAGAAGGAGAGGTTCTGTCCGTAACTCAGAAGCTGGTTGCCCAGGAACTTCGCTGAAAGGCAGACAGTAGGCTGGGTCAGAACGGGAGACTGTGACCCAGAGGAGCACTCAGAAAGCCGTGCTGCTTTCCAGCCTCACTTACCAGGGGCGATGAAATACCTAGGAAAGTAACTGTCCGAGATCACAGCAATATCCTGTCTGTCTGAGGACCACTCAAGAGACGCCTCCGAGCCATCCCTCTGTTCCACACGCCACCCATCCTCATCTGCGGTGGAGAATGAAGACACAGGCACATGACAAACATCCCAGATGAAGGCCCACAAGATGCGAGACTGCACCTCATATCGAGAAAAATCAATAAAAAAATCTGACCCTACAATAGAACCTATATATACTATCCCCTGAAAGATACATTTTGCTGTATTTTTTACGGAACATTTGTAGTCACTCTAAAACCGTATGTATGTTTCATTAAAGAGCCACACAAGGAAAAAAAAACCATGCATATTCAGTAACATCAAATGTTCCTAATATCAAAAACCCTCCCTAGCTACTGATTCCAAAAATACCCTTGTAAGAGTGGTCTCAGGGCTCTAGGGCTTGTTGTGAAGCTGTGAATAAGGGCTGCATTACCGATCTGAAAGGTGGAGGAGATGTCATAAACACTGTAGCCAACAGCATTTGTGCACACAGAAGAATGCCCAAAGCAGAAGCAGGGTGTGCAACCCTTAGGATTAGAGGATTCCAGATTAAAAAATCCAGGCTTGCATCTGAAAGAGATTAGGCAGCAGCATCAGTCACTGTTTCCACTGGAAACCTGATACCATGAGAACAGTCAGGGAAAGATGGAGCTACCTCTCACAGCTGAAGCCTTCAACATTGTCTTTGCAAACACATCTTCCTGTTTCAACGTTACACTCATCCGTGCTGCCGGAAGGATTACAGGAGCATGGCCTGTTTGATGGAATGGAGCACAAGAATGAAAGGAAAGAGGGAAGAAATCCTTTCTTAAAGCCAAATGCTTTACAGTAGATTTTACACAGTCATCTCCAAAGGACATAAATTCCTGTTACTTTTGTACTCAGATTTGGTTTCAGTCAAGAATACTCATCACCACTGAGGAAACCTAACACTGTGCACACTCACTTAAACTACTAAAAACACTCTCTGGACTCTCCAGAACCCCAGGGCATCTTCACGGTGGTCCAGAAGCTCACTGACCATACTGCTGGGCAAGTGTTCCCACTGTTATTACCACTGTCCTGTGAAGATTCCGGACCAGTCTCTGATTCTCAAAACATTTACCTGCATCCTGCCTCAGTGAGGGAATGGAATCCAGGCTGGCAACGGTCACACTTGTCGCCCATCACTCCCGGCTTACAGCTGCATCTGCCGTAACTGTCACACTGTGTGCTGAGAGAACCTAAAATATAGTGAGTCCATGTTCAACTCCACAGCTGGAGAGAGGGGTAAGTAAAACCCATGTCCAAAGAAACACAAGCAGATGCTAAAAGCAATGCCTGGTGACCATTATGTAATCTCTGGATGATCAGAGAAAATAAGGACCAAATTCTAAACTAGAACGCTTTGTAAATCATAGCTTTGTAAGCCATAAGAGTTTAGCTTTCCAGGCACACTCTCAGGTAGATCTACCCACCACTCTTGAACAAAAACTGATAGAGTGTACATAAGGCCAGTCACCTCTCTGGCCATGAGACATTCCTTAAGATTCTCATCTAGAACATCATTATACATAGGCACAAACAACAAAATATTAGCCTAACTCACACACTCACACACACACACACACACACAAAATAACCCCAAGAGACCGAATGCTGTGTATCTCTAAACACACACTAGCATGCTGTACACAGCTCAGCCCTCTAAGATTAGACTAAACAAAATCATTAACAAGGGGAAGCCTTCCTCAGTCAAAGTTCAGATGGTCTCTATGACCCAGCTGCCAATTATTTACAGAACCACTACTTCTTTTATACACACTAGAAAATTATCTGAAAGTTCAACTTCGTTAGAGTGAAGGAGAGGCATGGAGGCACAACAAGACGTTTCTAAGCTAGAACAGCATGCATGCTGACGCACTTGACTGTGCACATGCTCAGAATGCAAAGCTTCATTTTCTGGGTTCAGGAGACTCCTGCATCATCTCACTCCATCCAGTGCAACGGAGCCTTCCTGTCACTTACCAACAGGACTGCAGTGGCATGGAGAGCAGGCTTCAGTGTTCCCAAGGCGGAAGAAGTTTTCTCGGCACCTCTCACACTTGGCACCGTCTGTATTATCCCGGCAGTTGGTACAGTGGCCACCATGTCCAGTTGAACGGTATAGTTCAGGGTCAAAGTAGCATTCCTGGGATCGGCCATTGCAGTCACAGGCTGTAGGCCAAATATACAAGTTATATCAGATCAGAGCTGTATACCTTTAAAAAGAAAATGTATGTGTGTTTCTGTGTGAGAGAATCCTGTGTATGGGGATGCCTGCAGGAGTCAAAAGAGGGTGTCAGATGTCCTGGAGCTGGAGTTAGAGGCAATTGTGAGCCACCCAACGTGGGTGCTTTATTGGGAAATGAACTCTGGAAGAGGAGTGAGTGTTCTTAACCTCTGAGTCATCAGGATAGCCTCCAAGATCTGTATACCATTAAGAAAGCATTTTAAAAGACTCCAAGAAAACCAACCCACAATTCCCCGCATCTCTGTGACAGGTGGTACAGAACGACCCCCAGGCATATTGTTTATAGAAAACCAGTTTAGATAGCCTGATCATCACTTTACTAAGAAATATCCATCCTTAGAGAAAAAGGATACCATAAACATAAGAACTATACTCAGAGAAGAATCTGCCTCCCAGTAGCTGTTCATACATAAGAGCCAAGACAAATGATCCTTCTTCTAACTGTTACTTGAGACAGGATTTCACTATGTAGTGTTGGCTGGTCTGGAACTCACTATGCAGACCTAGCCTTGGAGTCAGAGATCTGCCTGCCTCTACCTCTCCAGTGCTGGATAACAGAGTGTACCCCACATCCATTTTTCCAATCCTTATCCTTGAGTTGTAGTACTGACAGCAGAAAGAAGGCACTAACTTATCATGCAGCTTTTAACATTTTTGCCTCAACAATCTGAACACATTAAGATGCTGTCAAAGGGTTAGATTACTCTGTCCAGACTAGGGAACTCGAGACATGTAGGTTTAAATTAGCACGTCTGGTGATGGAAGCAGAATTACAGGGAGATCCAGACCCTTCAGATCCATCTGCTGCAGAACCACGGGTCCAACTGCATCATCTGTTAAAACCATACTTTAAGAATAAGCAACTGGCCAGGCGTGGAGCACAGCTTTAACCCCAGCACTCAGAAGGCAACTCTATGAGTCTTAAGCCAGCCTGGTCTCCACAGAGAGTTCCAGGTCAGGGCTACAGAGTGAGATCCTGTCTCCAAAATAAACAAACAAATATTTGTAGTCACAGAGTCTTTACTTCTGCTTATCATAAGATGATTTTCTCAGACTTAACCTGTCCAAAACATATATAAGCTCTTGGCTATCACATAAGAACAAAGTTTGGCTTGGTTTATGCTAGAGCTATCAACTATTTAAAAAAAATATTTGAATATATATTCTTTTTCTATACAAAAAAGGCTACTGTAGAATTATAACTGAAAACATTTTTAGAAACTTGAATTGCTGGCCCCAAGACTTGGAATTTTATGAAGCCATTTTTTGGTGCCTACCCCTTTCCAGTAGCTGTTGCATAGTGCCCTCCCCCCCACCCCACCCCACGCTGCCCTACATCACCCTGCAGTCAATCCAGCCTTCCTGAGAAGTGGGCTGATGCTGAGATCATGAAGCAGAAGAGTTCCCATGCCCACTGCCTCCCAACCCAGAGCTACAGCATGGGCCGTGCCTCTCCCATCAACAGCTGGGATGACAGAAGACAGCGGGACTTTTCTCTTGTCTAGCCCCAGTATCCCAACTGTCCTGTTGCAGTAACATCCGCCAGAGACTTCACTCTGAAGGGCTAGTGCTGAGGAGACTGTGGAGAAAGGTGAGTTCCTCATCAAAGCCCATTAGCTGCAAGAGCCGCTTCATTTCCTAGTGGTGAGCAGTATTTTTGTTCTTATTTCCTGGGTAAACTAGCAATATGACATCCATATGCACGCAACCTCAAATGCACGTGTGTTTAGATGACATGTTTTAGGAGTACTTCATTTCTCTTACGCCAGTCCTCATCTTACAACATCCAATTACATCAGTGTGGTAATGGGATTAAAGGAGCTCACTGGATGCTTAGAAATGCTAGAGGAGGCTATAAAGTTTATCAGCAGCTCCAGGATTTGTTGAGAGAAAGAAAAGATGCGTAATAAATTCTGCTCAAGGCGGCTCAATGAAAACAGTCGTGAGAAGGTGGTTCCTTCTCAGGGTGCTGTGATAATGCTGCACGTTCCAAGTGTCCCTTTTCTTATTCCTTTTATGCCCCACACTGATGAAGGACATAAGAACATTGAGGTTGCTTTAAAGTTTGTTCATACTAAGTCTTGGCAAATCATGACTCTATGCTTTCTCTCCTGAGTTCCCCTCTCAGTCTGTTCACAATGAGCCATGAGGTTATGAAAGCTAAACATGTGTTAATGTCTTCATTTTGACCTTTGCTAGGGCACAGGACTTGCCCCTTCTCCCAAAGCCACCCAGATTTCCCAGCAGTGGTTGGGAAAGTCCTTCCTACTGTTCTCTTTTGAGAAAGGAAAAATGATTTTGAGAGTTAACTCACTGTACCTGACACACGCTAACCAAGCTGGCTGCTTGAGCGAATGAATACTGATGAAAAGAACATGGTTGTACTCTGTACCTGGAGTTACATAGCCACAGAGTCCATCAACTGTCAATACAGAGTATGGGGGTATAGGGAGATAATGTCTGTCCTTAACATATGTACAGACTTCTCTTTATTGTCCCCAGGCCCCAATGGAGGACAACTATTCTCATGACATTTGCACTGTATGCCATATTAGTAGCCTACAGATGACTAGCACGAAGAGGGGTGCATGGTCACATGCAAATGCTATGCCATCTTATATAGTGAGTTTGAACATCCATGAACTTTGGTGTGCAAGGAAGGTTCTGGAACCCATTTTCCATGGATACTGAGGGATGGTTGATTTTAAAAGGCCACGGTGACTACAGAGGTCACATTTAAGAGGTGCCACATTGACCCAGTATTTGAATCTAAGCAAACTCCTTGGTGATTCTGCTTCCTAGCTGATGTTCATGAAGGAAACAAAACCAGCTGGGTTTATTCACAACCAGCTTCCTTTGTCCATCATTTTCCTCTGATGGAGTGTAGTTTAGCCCCCTGCTCTGCAGGAGCAGTGACTTTCCGAGTTTCCATCAGTGAGGAAGGCACCCATCCCTTCCTCCAGCTGCAGTCCTTAAGCCCAATGGGCAGAGGACGCCAGCGGCACTCACGTAGGCATTCGCTGGCGCTCTCGGCCGTGGCCCTCCTCCACGGCCGGTCATTGAAGAAAGGCAGGCACTTTTCACAGTCCACTCCATAGGTGTTGTGTTTGCAATTGCACACCAGCTTGTCAAATTCATTCTTTACACACTCACTGGCATGTCCATTACACTTACACCTGGAGAGGAAAGAGAAGGGGTGGTCAAGAACAGAACCACTATGAGGGCCTAGAAACAGTACAGAGGGAGTGATCCAGAAAACCAAAAGCAAAGTAAGAATTCTTTGAATGTTACCATTCAAAAGTATAAACTGAGGAACTTAGCCAGGATAAGTTGAAACACACACACACACACACACACCCCTGAAAAACCCCAGGATGGAACATTAACTACACAGAAGAAAGCCCCTAACAGTTCCCAAGAACTCCGGCAGGATGTTTCTGAAGTGAAGGTCGTCAGGAAACCCCAGAAGACAATGGCTAAGACTAGCATAAAGTCTGACACCAGGCCACCTGGGTTTGGAACCCTTCCCACCACTTACGGTGTGCCTGAACCTCACCTGTAAAACAGACCATGATAAAGCCTCTCTCAGAGTCACTGGGAATTGCTCAGTCTCTGCATACAGGACTGAACAGAACACCGTTAATACACAGGCAATAATTCACCCTCATGATTAATGCTTCCCACTGAAGGAACTGAGACACTGACTTTGATACCTAGTTCCTTATAGATGTTCAGTAGACAGATTAGTCCCTTGGGCTCTCTGGGGGTGAGGGCCGCCAAAGGATCCCCTAGATGAAGGTATGGAAATGAACTCAGGATCCAAGGAAACACAGAGATGTGAATGTGGCTGAGCAGAGGCATTTCTCCCACTTGCTTCCTTAAAGACAGCAATCCCATAGCTTCAGGCACTCATCTGAAAGTGCCTGTGCACGCTGAACTCATCTTCAGTGTGCAGAGAGGAGCCTCACTTTAGAACCCCGTTCCCTCCTTCTCCAAGGCCCCTGTCCTTGGTGGTCATACAAACTTAAAGGTCTCCCATAACCTCAAACTCTGCATGTCTATGACTAAGTGCCTCATCTCCTCCAGGGTGGCCCATTTTCTAAATTTAGTAATGGTACCACTGTTCTCCTGATCATTAGACTAAAAAGCTGGTAATTTCCCTTTCACGGTAAAATGCATCTCTGCATCCCTTTTGATCTGTAAGGAGCCTAATGTCAGGCGTTTGTTGTTTAATATCCAGATTACACATCATCAAAGCAGGAATGGAAACTCCATCAACCACACTGTACCTTTACCCTGTTTGCACACTCACCTTAAACATCTTTCTGAATTGATTCTGCAGGTCAGCATATAAAGTAATGGGCCTCCTGGCGTCTTCATAACTATGCATCACTGTACTCACTCTCTCCAGACATCATCTTCCAAACCCAGTTATGATATATATCCTTACTCCAAGCACTCTCGAATTTTTCACTGGTTGCATTTCAAACCAATCTCACTGAGCATGCCAGGAACACCAGATACAAAAATAATTTTTCTGCTCTAGAGATCTCATGGGCTAATACAAGGGGAAAAGTCCATGATTCTCAGCCTGTCACCTCTGACCATAAATCCATCTTTCTGGTTTACAGTTCTGCAGAGATTTTATTCCCATCAAGCAGGATTACACTCTCTGAACTTCTGCTGATATATATCCACCCTCCTGCACTCAATCTACACATCTTCCCTCTTTACCCAAATCCTACCCTTCCTTTAACACCCATCCAGATCCGACCTGTTTCTTGATTCATGACGTCTTTGTTTAGAATACATGGTTGCACTAGCACAAGCTGAGCACCCCTCCCTAAGTGCTTGGGAACGGAAGTTTTTGAATTCTGTATCTTTTTCAAAAGCAGACTGCTATATCTTGGGAGCAAAACCAACAACAGCCAGGGGACCAGCATCTTGACTGTCTAACTGTGATGTCACCTGAGCACCAGAAAATTTCAAGTTTTGTATGCAGTTCGTTTTTCTATCAACTTGGCATAAGCATGGGGCATCTGGGAAGAGGGACCCTCAAATGAGACAATCTCTCCATCAGACTGACCTGTGGGCATTTCTTGATTAATGATTGATAGCTGATGGGGGAGTGCCCAGCCACTGGAGGCAGTGGTATCCCTGCAAAGGTGGTCCCGGACTGTGTAAGAAAGCAGGCTGAGCAAGCCATGAGGAACTACCTAGTAAACAGCACTCTTCCGTCGCCTAGGTTCAGTTCCTGCCTCCAGGCTCCTGCGCTGCTGGAATATCTGCTCGGACTTCCCTCACTGATAGACTGTGATCTCAGAGTTAATAAGATAAATAAGCCTTTTCCTCTCCCAACTTGCTTTTGGTCATGGTGTTTATCACAAAAACAGAAAGCCAACTAGAACATCTTGAGTTTGTGGATTAGGGATGCTCAACCTACATTTGAATTTTCATATATTAACGAATTGCTCTTAACTCATTTATAAGATCCTAGGTCAAGGCTTCTCCCTTAGGCAACAGCTCTGCAGAATCTCTTACTGGATTAATAGTAATAGATTACTGTACTTAAATGGTCAATGAGTGTGGACTTAATAAGGTTTGACAAAACCCAATTGCTTAGCTTCCAGAATAAGAAGATCTGATAAGAAAAAAATTCCTACATAGTAGCTTGTCTTTCCAGATCCACATGGTCCCTAAATGCTAATACAGTCACAAAGAGTTCCACATCAAAGTTCCAATCATAGTTCACTCACCTGCCGCCCACAGCGAAGTCTGAGATTGCATAATAATAGGACTTGAGAACTTTGGGGTCGTTAAACACTTCATCTCCAAAAGTGTTTAGGCGATTGAGTGTTACTCTGATGTCAGTAGCAGTTACCCACTCCTGCAGAAGGAAAAACAAACAAATACATAGAACATAGAGAGAAGCAGAGGGGCTGAAGATGAGAAAGACATTTGACAACATCTTCCTAATAGTCCAGATGCTAATCTAGACCTCTTTTGCTGAACTACTGAACTATAAACTTCAGTTCCCCGACAGACTCCTCCTTGGCTCTTCCACAGTTAACAGTCGAGTCACCACTTGTGAGTTTCCATAGGTGAGGACCCTGCCGGTTTCCTCCTCAGGTGACTGAAAGAGCCGAGTGAAACCCACACCCAAAAGCCCAGGGAGCGAGCGGCAGAACTCTCCTCCTCCTCCTCCCTTCTCAGTCTACAAGTGAAACTCGGCCAGCAGTGCCAGCTCAGATCACACACCCGCCACACTCATTCTAGCACACGTGTCCCCTTGCACACTTTGTACCGTCCAGTTCTGGCTCCTAGGCCTGAACTGCACTGGTGTGGGGCAGGTAGAGACCTAACCACAAGGCAGTGTGTGTGTGTGTGTGTGTGTGTGTGTGTGCGCGCGCGCGCGCGCACTGACCCGAGCCAACCAAACGCAGCTGTGTTGGTCGTCACCTTTGCTACGACATCACCTCTGTTAGGTCTCCCCTGGACAATCTTAAAATTATCCCACTCCATTGACTTATTATCTCACACTGCCTCCAATACCCGGTTAAAGTTAGGAGAAGGGTAGGCAATCTATGTCCATTCTGCTCAGTGCAGCGTCCCTCAGGCTTGGCACAGAGTGAGCGAATCCACGTCTGATCAAGTTGAAAGGTGTATCATACAGAACAATGGGAACCAAGGCTGTGACACTACCCTGCGTTTGCTGTTATCTAAGCCCTTATGATATATATATATATAAATATATATATATATTTATATATATAAAATATTATATTATAATAAATGACCTTTCACTGAGCTGACTTTATCAGATGCTTACATGTGTGGCATGCTGCTGTCATAACGATCCCAATGACCCAGCCCGCCACACCCTGTGCAATTTCCTCCCATGCTAACTCTGGTTTTGGCAGAGGGGACATCAGGTAATATGACACACACAGAGGCTCGATAAGGACTATTTATGTTCCGGGACTTGCCCTCACTGGTCTCCTGAACATGGAAGACCCCGGGGGAAAAGAAAGACTCAGGCCTCAGTTGACCTGCCTGGTGAAGGAGCCCAGACCAAAGACAGCACTTCTCCTCCAGTCCAGGGGACGGACTTAGGGACTAAGAGCCAGAATCACCCTCACCTCTGTAAAAAGCAGGGGTGGGGGGTGGGGGCTGACAGCGGCATCTGCGCTTCCAGAGGCTCTCAGACCAGCAGGCGCACTCCTGATAAAGCAGCGCCGCCTTAAGCTATGCCAAACACCTGGCAACGAACAGAGCTCATAAAAAAACTAATCTCCATGAAGCTTCAGTATAATTAGAAAGGAGAAGATGATGATTTCACCGTATCCAATCTTGGAACTCAATAACAACTCCCACTCATGGCCACAACAGCAGGAATCTGTTAGTTGTCCATAACGCAAATAGCTAAACACACCTCTGCCTAATGCTTATGATACCTTCTCCAGGCTTCATCTTTACCACAGCTCCCCTCTACAAAGGAGATGGAAAGCTCACAGGGTGCCACTAAGGCATCATGAATATCTAGACTGAACAGAGTCCGAATCTCAGCTCTGCCACTTAAAACTGCGAGGTGGGACAATTTACGCCCTTTCTGAGCTCTGACTCCTCATCTGTAAAAAGAAAGATAATAAAAATAGCCAACTTACAGAGTTACAAGAGCTAAAAGACTTAATACATCTAGACATCAGAATGCTGCTCAGCCATCTACGGCTGAGAACATGCTTGCTGCGTTACAGCACAACAGTGTATAACAGAGGCTAAGAACTGCAAACCAGTACAGGCCGGTACTCAGCCAGCGGAGCCGGAGACCTTCCCCTCCGCCATCTGGGAGAAAGCAGTTTACTCTTATCAGCTAGAAGTCAAACCTGCTCACCCGACTTGGCCCCGAGCTATGAGAGCCAGAGCTGTTATAGCCAGACACGCGTAATTAAAGCTCCCGCACAATGAAACGAACTCACCAAATTATTCGGACGCCCAAAGCGTTCTTACCAGAGTCTCACTAGTTTCTATGACAAAGAGCAGCTAACAGCAGAATCCCTGCTGGGGAGCTGCTCAAGACAGGCTGGGGCCATGCAGCAAGCCAAGGAGCCAGAAAACCACGCTTTCTTACTGGTCCTACTACGGCCTCTCCAGGACAAGAAACACAATCAACCGGACAGAGTCAAGGCTGGTGGGTGTCTGCTCCACGGCCTTTTCTAAGGCTTTCTTTCAGCGTTTAGCTATTTCACCATCTATCTGAATCAGCTATTTGTGGTGATATTTTAATTGTGCTGAAATGTGATTTTATTTGTATATTAATAATAAAGTTTGCCTGGAGATCAGAGGTCACACAGCAAGGTCACATAGCCTTAAACAGCAGTCAGGTGGTGGTAGCACACACCCTTAATCCGATCACATGGCAGGCAGAGTCTCGGTGTGGTCAAGGACACACGAGCCTTTAATCCTAGTACCAACCATAGAGACCTGGAGGTCTGTATAGACAGGCAGTGACGAGGAAATCATGTGGCTGGGCTTAGAGCCAATGAGAAGGCAGAACAGGAAGGCAATAAAAGCACAAGTCACACAGGAAGAAGCTCTCTCTGGGGAAGCAACAGCAGCAAGGTGGTAAGGTACAGTAGTCGTGACTCTTCGCTAGTTCTCTGATCTCTTTGGCTATTACCTCTGCATTTGGCTCTGTGTTTCTTATTTAATAAGACTGTTTAGAAATTCGTCTACAGCTATTCTCTGCTGTTCATGTTCCCCGCGTCACCAGGAACTCTTCTGAAAGGCCTTGGAGAACACCTGGATGTACTTCCATAGTCACCATCCTGACAGCCTAAAAGAACACACGGGTGGGGCCTGGACACGCAGAAAAACATGTTCTCATCGGTGGCTCTGCCTAAACCTGTATAACCCAATCAGAAAGTGCCCCTGACTATAAGAATAAACGACAGGGCTGGCAAGATGGCTAGGGGGTAGGGGTGCTTGCTGCCAAGCCCGATGACCCGAGTTCAATCCCCAAAGCCAACATGGTAGGTCTTGCATGTTATCCTCTGACCTACATGTGGGTAGTACACGTGTGCTCTCACATACACATACAGAATTAATAAATGTAAAAGACTAGTAATTATAATAAATTCCAGAGAAAAACACTGAGAATCCAGAGTGGAAAGCCCAGGGAAACAGAGGTTTCCACTAAGTTGTCATGAAATGGGCACAGCATTTGCAAAGTCACATCGAGTCCTTCCTTCTCTCCCCGTCACTGAATATATATAGACCGCCCCATTTAGATACTAACATCACCATCTAAATCGGTGTGACATCAGTGTCTGTATCACCATACTAAGAATGACACAGGGATCCCCACTCTGCCATAATCACACAGCCAGAACATGTGCAAAGTTTAAACCTGAGCCACACACAGAGGCTCCATATGAGGGGGTAAAAGGAATGCGCATGGAATTGATGAGAGAAACCTTTGATTCGCTCTACTGTTAGACAGGCGAAGGTTTTTAACGTGATGCTTAAGCACAGTACCAAGTTGGCCTAACAGATATCCCGTCTCTAGAACTCAACTTCTCAGGTGAAGAAAAAGCTTTCTCATAGTCACAATCAACAGCACAGACAAAATGTCCTTGTGTGGGAAGGAAGGGAGGCATTCTTATGTACTTAAATATCTTATGTCAGCTGTTCCCCATGGCTAATTTAAAAAATATACCTTTTCCTTTGTCAAATCAAGGAGCAGTTAAGATAGAATGCAAGAAAAATGGGGAGATTGTTTCAAATATCTCACTTTACTTACTTTGGGAAGGGGCAGGCCAGTAAGAAGATTCAGCAGGTAAAGGCACCTGCCACCAAACCAAATGGCCTCAGTTCAATCTCTGGGCTCCACAGGGTAGAAGGAAAGAACCAGCTTCCATTAGTTCTTTTCCTCTGACCTACATACATAAGCTCTTGTGCTTACACACATACACACACACACACACACACACACACACACACACTAATTTTTTAAATGTAAAAAAAAAAGAAATCTTTTAAGACAGTATCTCATGTATTCCAAGCTGGCCTTGAACCTGTGGCAGAGTTGAAGATGATCTTAAATTTCTGACCTTCCTGCCTCTACCTCTCCTGGCTTAGGAGGTACTGAAAATTAAACAGTCTACAAACTGAGTCATATTCCCAGTCCTATACCAATATCTTCTGAAAAAGTCAGAAGTGAAAAGTTCCCTCCTCAAGTAGAGACTAAAGCTAGAACTGTTCATCGTTAATAAAATTTCCAAAGTAGCTGAGTGTGTCGGTGTACACCCTTAATCTTAGCACTTAGAAGCTGGAGGGTCAGGAGTTCAAGGCCATCCTCAACTGCATGCATAAGTGGGCCATTTCAGACCTTGTCTCAAATAACGCCCCCAAATTAAAGTGTGTGTTTGCTTGTTTTTGTTTTGTAAAGGTTAAACTCTGGGGCATGTTTTCAAGTGGAAAAGATATAGAACCAACATCACCCAGGCAGTGGGAAGAAAACGTAGAGATAACATACAGGAGAACAGCAGAGAATCCAGCCGCCTGTGTGATGGGTCATGTGGATATTTTGCATCCTTAGTCAGGGGAGGACGCAGCTCCCACACCACCCTGGGAGTGCCTACCTGCAGCACGGGGCTGTTGTCAAAGTTGTAAGCACTTGGCCTTCCTTCCAGGGTGGAAAAGGCCACGTTGCCCCCGGTGAGGGGGGAAATGTCACTGAACTCGTCAGTACACAAAGCCTGCTGCTCGTCCCCTCCTGTCCTGATGAAGCCTCGGTTGGCCTTTGAGTAGGTATTCTCACAGGAGCCACTGTAGTACTGGTAAGGAATCCAGGGTCCATCCTCCCGAGTGCGCTTATAGACGGCGAAGCTCTCTGGGCGGCTGGTGTGGAACTTGAGGCGCACGTAGGTGATGTCAAAAGCCTTTCCTAGGGAACAAACACATCAGAGTCCTTAAATCGTGTGGATGAAGATGAGAAATGCCCCTATTCCTAACCAGGTCGGGCTGGATGAAGAGGGCCCAGCATTAGACCACGAAGACCTCAGTACATTAATCACAGTGGTCGGGCCTGCTGGGCTATTCTAAACCTGGAAATTGCACATTTCCCAGCATTAGACAAAGTACAGTTGGCCTCTTAACATTGGCTGTGAAAATTTGTGATAGAAGTTCAGGACTAATGAATTTTACAATAAAACTAAATAAAAAGTTCACCTATTCTTAATGCTGCTGCTTCAATGAATGCTTAATTAAAAGATATTAAAAAAAACATGAGGACCTTTGAAATGGGTCTCCTGGGTACTTTCAATACTTAAAAAAAAAAAAAAAACCTTACTTTTTATGAACTACAGCACTTGTCCTGGTGCAGGAAGACTGTCCTCAGAACTACTCTCTTGTCTACCCAGTGGGACATGAACAGGAAAGGGGAAAATCCCCATTCAGAAGCTCAACCAAGAGCTAGAAGGAGAAAGAGAAATGCATCTTGAAGAGGTCATATCCGAAGACGTTCACAGGAGAACACATGAGAAGTCGCTCTGAGCAGCCAAGGGCAGAAGGAGGAGTCAGTGGGCTGCCTGCCCTCTAGAAGCAGGGTCAGGTGGGTCCCTGCACAGCCACAGTGTGGCCAACGGTTGGGATGGCATGTCCTCGGACACTATGCAACCATTCAATCACCATCGGTGCACTCATCAGGCCTATCCTTTACAATGGGCATGCTTTGCTACTTCTGTGTTAGACCAGAGACACACGGTGACCACAGCCGGGTCAACAGGTATCTGTTGAGCTCAACTCCACATTCAGTCCTGTGCGATACACTGGCACAGGGTGTGTACAGAAACAAATCTTTGCTCTCAAGGAGCTTACATGTACTCCCCACAAGTGAATCATCGCCTAGAAAAAACAACAACAACAAAAAACCCCTGATCTTCTCCTGTGCAGAACAGGGACTCCTGCCCTCTCAGACGCTGGGGAAGAGACCTCTACTGTGAGTCCAGGTCATATCCTCCGACACAGCTTTATCTACACTAAAACTGACTTTCTCAACTGGTCCAAGTCATAGAAGAGATTTAGTAACTGCACCCCACCCCCACCCCTGGCCTGAGACACACACACACACACACACACACACACACACACACACACACACAGTACTCTAATAACTTAACACAACCGAACTTAAACAAAGCTGAAGTATGCAAAAAGAACACAGGCCTGGCGTTGTGGGGCCTGCGTTCAGCCTGGTTCCTTTACTCAGTAGCTGTCTGCTTTCTGCTGTAGTGGTTTCTCGTTTGTAAAGGTGAGAATCCCGCCCCATCCACTCTTGCACACCCTTGACCCATTAGAAAGTTCTATGATGTGTAAAGCAATATTAAAACAGTTTATGAAGAAAACTCTTGAACCGAGGGTCTGGACCCATTCATCCAAGGCCCTAACTGGCCCAGAGACTACTGAGTAAGTACACTCACCAAGAGCTACACAAGTACAGACCTTCCCTCAGGTGAGGTACGACATTTTTCCCAGACACAGTTCACATACGACAGCTCACTCAGCTTTGCTGAGAGAACCATTGTCTCTGCTGTCAAAAAATGGCAAGCCATCACTTCAGAATGAGGGTGAGATTGTTGTATAGTATCCACGGCATTCCAGAAACTTCCTATCGAAGACATTCCAGCAAGGCAGACAGTTGATTTTGCACAGGAGTAGGTGGCGTGGGGTGCTCACGGCTTACTCACTACTCTGTGGATTACACATTGCCTTGACTTTCCTTCTCTCCCTACCTTCCTGACATCTCACTGCCTTTCAGCAGCCTGACCTATAGCAGATACCTTCTGAAATAAGTCTGCACAGGAGGCCACAGTGTGGCCATAGCAGCAAAACCTCCAGAGCGCCCCACTGCTCTCAATAAGCTGGGGGCTTGCTGGCTTCCAGCTGAGCTCGGAGCCTCACTGCTGAGCAGCCTTTTTCTCTCAGCTTGGCCACAGGGAAGAGGGAAGGAGCTGGAGTGACTTGCTCACACTGTCCAACCACTGTGGTCACAGGAGGGCAGTTCCTAGTGGGGTCCTATGGCGAGGGTGGAGCATCGCATCTGAGGAGCACGGAGGAAAGCCACCTCACCCAGGTTTGTCAGTGTTTGCTGTGGGAAGTGGCATCTACTTCCAAACCAAGGAATGCTTAGGTTACTGACACACACAAACGGTGGCTTAGCTGATGAAGGGGCGTGGATGAGAGACGGTGGTCACTGGAGGAATGGGAGTTGTGTAGTAGCTACAACTACAAAGGCTAGCTGGAGCTGAGAACAGTTTCAGCACAAGGTCAACAGCCCCCAGTGAAGGACTTACCCCGGGAAATGCATGGTCAGGTCTGACTTTATGGCCACTGTGGAGATCAGAAGGGATACAAACAACTTCTTTGTTTGTTTTGAGACAGGGCCTCTCACCATAGCCCTGGCTGTCCTGTTACAATGTAGACCACGCCAGCCTCCAACTCGGAGATCCACCTGCATCTGCTCAGAGTGCTGGGATTAAAGGCGTGCACGACCATGCCCAGCCCAAGGACGGCTTCTTAAAACGTGGTAATGTTCCAGGAAAGATGGCAGACCAAACATAAAACAGACAATAAACTAAATGAAGCACAGGGAGACGACATCAACAGAGGCATGGCAGTAGAAGAGTGAGTCGGGAGCTGCTTAAAGACCTTCTCTCCTCGGACCCTGCTCTACCCTCTACCCATCCCACGAAGTGGAAGATCAGGAATAACATTTCATTTTCTTGCTTAAAAGCCATTAAAGGGCTGGACAGTGGTGGCGCATGCCTTTAATCCCAGCACTCGGGAGGCAGAGGCAGGCAGATCTCTGTGAGTTTCAGGCCAGCCTGGTCTATAGAGTGAGTTCCGGAACAGCCAGGAATGTTATATAGAGAAATCTTGTTTCAGGGAAAAACAAAACAAACAAAATAAAAACCCACCAAATGGAAAACAGTGCTCCCTGCCCCCCCCCCTCCCCCCGTGCGCGCTGAGACAGCATGAGATAAGCAGGATTTTAAGAGGGGGATGAGTTCATCTCAGATACACAAGATTTGGAGTACCTGCAGGTCACCTAGACGGGAGGAAATTTCTATAAGGAAACAGGATGTGAGTGGCCTGAAGGACCAGAAGCATCTAAGTTAGACATAAAGACTTAGGACCTCTTAGTATGTAGATCCGGAAACTTTAAGGAGCAGGTAGAAACCAAGGAGCAAGTGTGTTGCATTAAGAGCCAGTTTCCATGACCATCCTGAGGGGCACCCAGGTCTAAAGCACAGACAGAAGAGATGACAACACACAGTGCAGAAGGGACCAGGGAGGGCAGGAACCAGGAAAACAGGTTCTGAGGAGGGCCCAGCAATAGTATTAAAGTCTGCTAAGCGATTGGCTGGGGAGGCAGCAAAGTTAGTAAGAGCGCCTTCTGCTCAAGCATGGGGACCTGAGGTCACAGCCCCAGCTCCCACATCAAAAGTCGGGTGTATCTCTGTGCACCTGTAATCCCAGTGCTATGAAAGTGGAAACAGGAGGCTCCCTGGGGGGTGCTGGCCACTCAGTCCAGTCTGTCAGTGAGCTCCAGGGTCAGTGAAAGACCCGTCTCAAAGCAGAAGGGAGAGAGGCTGGAGAGGTGGCCCAGCCATTAGGAGTACTTCTTGCTCTTCCAGCGGACCCTAGTGGTTCCTTGGACCCGTATCAGGTGGCTTACAACTGCCAGCTCCAGGGGATCCCAGCCTTCTCCTGGCTCCCTCAGGCATTCACACACATGTGGCATACAATGACACAGACACAGACCTAATCATCTTTTTTAAAAGAAAAGAAAAAAGGTGGAAAAGTGATCGAGAACACCTGATACCCACCATGGGCACACTTAATGTGTACACACTAACTCACAAGGGTTCCGCCCACCACAAGCATGATGTGGATATATACATGCACACAAATGTGCTAAGGGTCAAGTGCCAAATAAGACAATGCCTAAAACAATGTCCACTGGCAGCAAGCCACGAAGTTTAGCGTGCATTCAGAGGAGCTGCAGGGGCAGGGTTGACAGTCCTGGGACTGAGGGGAAGAGTGGACTAAAGCAGGGAGTGTGGTCAGCCGGTTAGCGCAATGGTGAAGCAGCAGCGGATGGGGAGGAGGCTGGGGGCGCGGGGCACTGAAGCAAGTTTCTTTTTTTTTCCTTTTCTGCCTTTAAGTAGGAACAAGGAGTACATATGTAACACCACCATGCTGGGGTCCACAGGGGGAAAAGCCGAAGACATAGAATGCAAAACAAAAATCAGGATTCGGTGCTGGCTGGGGACTGGCTGGGGTTGGGGGCTGGGGGCTGGGGGCTGGACTGACCTGCCTCCTAGCTCTGTCAACTCAGAAATTCAAGCAACCTTGTGAAGGACAAAACAAAAGAGTTCTGATAATATTCTCCCTCTGTAGTGACAATCAAGGGTGCCTGCACTCACGGTAGGAGGCAAAGCCAGTTGGGGAAGCTGAGTGGGAAATACCTGAAAAACTCAGAAACACTTACTTTTTAAGCTTATTATTATTATTATTATTATTATTATTATTATTATTATTATTATTATGCATGAGACCACCTGTGGTGGTCAGAGGGCACATTTGGGGAGTCAGTTCTCTCTGGGTTCCAGGTATTGAACTCAGCTTAGCAGGCTGCTAGAGCAAGTATTTTTACACACTGGGCCATCTCACTGGCCCACTTAAGAGGCTTTAATAGGCACTTGAAGACCAGCCCCCTGACCCCCAAAAGTAGCTTTCTTGGGCAAAGACTGGCCACTGAGAAGAGGGTAGAAGGTCACAGCTCTGTACAGAGATCTCTGCAGAGGTGTTATTTCCTCCAGCAGCCTAGGGCACCCTTTTTACTAATGTACCTGAAGGACAAAGAGACAAGAAATTTAAATT